TGCATAAATTACATAGCGATTACGGAGTACGTAGGTGAAGATGAAAAAAACTTGTTTTCACGCGGCTGGTCGCTCGAGCGCGATCACGAGGCTACAAAACTCTATTGGCCGTCTCTTCTTTCTTTTTTTTTTGTAATAAAAAGAAAAATTCCACTGATTTGATAATCTGAACGAGAGATCTTTGGTTCGCGTTGACGTTTCCTTGATTGCTCGCGATCGCTACGGTGTTAACGTCGCTGTTATCGATTTTAGGGCGTCCGCGATCGCACCTGAGCGCCCCAGCCCCGTCGTCGTTTCGTATACAAGTTTTAAACGTAGCAAAAATGGAAGCCCCGTTGGTCATTGAAAGTAAACAAAATCACGGTGATTGAATTTTCTCGGTAGAGGCAGCCTAGGCGAGGGAGGGTGGGCAAAATGATAACACGAGACGAGGACAGACACCAGCGTACCATTGTATAGGAGAGTAAAATCTCGTCGACGATCGGAAGGAATAGCCAGAAGACCTAGAAATGTAAATTGTTTATTAGACGTTGCTCAAACTGAAGGGAGATTAAGCGAGAGTGTAACGAGAACCATTTCGCGTGCTTGTCACCGTGCGCAGAAAAAAGAAAAAAAAAAGAAAAATGGAGAGAGCGGATTATAGAAGCTTTCATCGCGGTCGAATGAGCCACGAGAGAAGAAAACGGGAGAATTTACTGGCCGCTTTTCGATTAAAATCGGGTTCTGGAAGGGATGACGGTAAACGAAAGAAGGAGGAAACTGATTACTACTTATCGATTAGCTGTAAACATTATTAAGGGCAGTCATGTAGTACTCATATAGTCTATTTGTTAATGTTTCAAATATTTTATTAAATGTTGATATAATGTACTACGACATTCCTTGTTTGTGCCGGAATCCCCGCAATCTAGTCTTTAAACGAGAAGCTGAACAAAAAAAAAAAAATCGAAGAAGCAAACTAGGGGGAAAAAAATACAAGAGAGAGAGAGGATACGAGGGGAAAAAAAAAAAATGAGATAATAGCAAACGAGTGCTCCACCCGTGTCAGCTGATATACTTAATACAAAAAAAAAATAAATAAAAACGTACTCAAAAAACGTTACTCAACAATCGTTCGTTGAAACCGAGAGCGAACCAAAAAATGAGAGAGGAGAAAAAAAACGTAATCGAGAACTAAGTGTATAGGTGTATGCATAATTATATTATACAGGGCTTCCTACTGGAAACAGACCACCTTGGTATCCTAAACGATAGGGAAATAATTGATACGATGGCAATAGTTTCTTTTTGATTTTTTTTTTTTTTTTTTTCGATCGAGGTAAAAAGTATCGAGGTGATCCGTCCTGGTAGGACGTCTTGTATATCTCAATAGTTCCCTACATGATGCCTTCGTACAGTCGAGTCGGCAATTCGCGCGTATAAACACAGGAGACGTAAAAAAAAAAGTCGAGCCGAATCTACAATAGAGAGAAAAAAACAGAGGGAAGGTAGGAGCTTAAGGGAAACGAATGAAAGAGTTTCGAAATGAGAGAAACGAGGAGGTGAGAGATATTTTGTTACGTACGTATATGTATAATAGCTGTATCGCGCCTGTCAACGGGATCCCTCGAATGCATCAAATTGGCACGAATGATCGAAAAAAGAAAAAAATAAACAAATTCCACGTAAAACGAATAGAACGCCGCGCGAGCCGCTCGTTTCTCGACGCCACGGAGAGTTTTGGTGGGCCTACGAATACCAGGGTTTCGAATTATCGAGCGACCGACGCACATCGAAGATTATTTTTTATCCCAAAGTGCAACGGAAATCGGTTACTCTTCCTTTATCGGGCGCTTTGAGAATTGATCGTTGACAAACGGTGTTACAATGTTGAGAAATTAAACGGAACGATCGACACCCTTCTTCCCGTACACGTTCACCGGAACTCCGGCGATCTTTCCCGCGCCTTACTCGATACACACACGTTGGTATCGCTAAAAGAGATCGCTGCGTCCGTGGATCGCGAGAATGGGACGACCGAGGCGGAGAAAATCGAAGCGGGCTCGAAGCCAGGGGAGTTTTCTTTCGCAAGAGGAGTTGACTGGCGTTCGCGGATGTCGAGGGGGGTGAAAGAGGGACAGAAAAGAAATGGCGAGGGAGTTCGAGATACTCGGAAAGATCGTTAGTAGGCGGGGGAGGTTTAATGTTCGAGGAGGAATCTCGGTCCGAAGGGGCTGAAAACGAAGAGGGGTTGCAAGAGTGGACGAGTGTGTAGGTGTATATCGAAAAAACGCCACGCGGCAGCGCTCACCCATAACTTTGTAACGTTTTATAAATAAATTGGCATATCGGCATATTACCAATCGGGAGAAAAATAAGAAAATACGAGAGACACCTTCCCTCCGGATAAAAACGACGCGAGAAGGAACGAGAGAGAGAGAGCGAAAGACGAAGAGAAAATATTAGCGAGGGAGAGCGCGGTAGAACGAGAGGAAGAGATATACACGAGAGACGCGTAAATAATTTATCCTCACTTCTTCATCGATGAACGCTCTGCTGGTTTGGAGCTGTAGTCATATCGTTAGTGTGTAAGTCTGTATGTGACGATGTTAATTATTGTAATATACTGAAAAAGAGCAAGATGAAAAAAAAAAAAATGATGAAAACCAAAAACGAAAAAACCATTATTGTACTACTTACGAGCATTCTCGAGCGACGTGAAAAGAAAAAGAAAAAAAAAAAAAAAAAACGGAACAAAAAAAAAAAAGAATTTAAGACAGGGAGGATATATTTAAAAACTGGTGGACAGAGAGAAAACGGATAACGGACGCGCTGTTCGTCTGGGTATTACTGGGCATGTGCTTCAAAAAACAAAATAGATTTTTTATAAACCGAGAAAAAAAATCTGTTTCCGACCTTTTTCAGTGAACGAGATTTTCTCATTACTCGAGACACTTAAACTCTCTCCGTTTGTGGTTTTTTTTTTTTTTTGTTTTTTTTTTTTGTTCGCAACGTGAATACCGCTTATTAAAAGTTTTGAGAGAACGAGACGAATGAGCGAGGGTGCAAGAGGGTTTCGGGAGCGCAAGAGCGGGAGAAAATGCGTGCAAGGGTGACGATGAAAGCGAGAGGGAGAACAGGGTGAACGCGAAACAGTGAGAGAAAGAGCGAGAAAGAATGACCGAGACGGTAAAGGATGAGAGCGAGAAACGATTACAGGAATGAAAGGAAGAAAAATGAGGGGAAAAAAAAACACAAGAGAGAGACCGCAAATCGCACCTCGACCGAATTTAAAAAAAAAAAAAAAACCTATAATTTCCTCTCACACCTCTGCGCAGTGTTTTGGGCCTTTCCGTCCAATACGCGATGTACCACTGTCATTATTTATTTAATTTTTGCAATCTACGTACAATAAAATTGTTGTTGCTGAAACGATAAGTGTAAATGTGTATACTGTACATTCAACCTTCGTTTAAAAAAGAAAAGAACAAAAAAAAAAAATGAACAAAAAAAAAAAAAAGAATTCATTATTAAGGTCTCACTGGACCAGGATTCCTGCCGTCCTGGCGTGTGTTGTAATTGTACATGTACATATACATGCGTATTTTTTAATATCAGACGGTAATTTACTCGATAATTAGAATCGCTTATTAGAGTATATATGTATGTATTCCTCGCATACATACGTACGTACATGAATATAATATATATACATATATATATGTATATATGTATATATATGTACACATATGCATTACGTACATACATGTATGTATATTTATACATATATGTACACATATATACGGAGAAAAGAAACAAAAATGAGAGCAGCATTCCCGACGCCGATGTCTGCGACGAACGATCTCCGAAAGGAATAAAGCACTTTCACGTAGCATCGTGTTTCTATCGACGTTTATCCAATCACTGATCTCCCAAATCTATTAAACTTCCCTCGCGTCGCAAAAAGTCCAGACCAAACTTACAACGTTCACGAAATTAATTATAACAAGTAGTATGAGTTTGGCCTCAACTTCTTGAGACACGTCCATAGTTCTATCAATCTTTTCTAATATACATAAAGAAGAAATTTTATATTAAAAACTTCTGCCAAAATGTTTACCTAATTTGAAAAGGAAACATTTATTTTATTTCTATTAATGTTGTGGTCGATTATTGTTTTCTTGCATGCAACTTGTAAACTACTCAACAATTTCAAATTCTATTTCTTTTATAGAACGATACTTGGTTCTCTTCCATTTGTTTCTTTTGTTTCTTTGATCTTGTACTGTTCGTATAAACCGCGCTGAAACAAAAATATAAACAGCATTTTAGAGGAACTTGGGCTCAATCCGAGTTTCTTATCGTGAATATCGATGCATAATTTGTTTAATTATTCGAAAGGGGGATGCATAGTGAGAAGGCTCACATATCGCTATTGAACCTAGTAGTCAAAGTGGCTTAATTAATCACGCTAATTATCCTATCTAGTGATTTTATTGATCAAAGGCTCGTTTACATGTGGCAGTAGAAGTTCTGGTGACCAGAGATTACCGTTAGTGACATAGGTGGCGTTTTCTAGTGGAGGAATTGTCCCAACATGCCGCCATATTGTTTCGTTTCAGTAAACATCAGTCCTACACAGAGTATACGATCGTTATAAAGTGTTATAATTTCCCTTGTCCGGTTATTCCCTCAACCAATTTACGCGTACCTAATTATATTACTTTGAACATTCCGAACAATTAATTAATATACTTGGAGTGACCTTAAACTGTAATGCTATCTACCAATCAGACCTGAGAACAACCTAACCGCGTCTCTAATTTAAACTATTTGTTTAAGTATTTCAGTGAACTAATACGGCGCGTTCTTACCATACGTAAAGGAATATTTGCATGTAATTGTCGATTAATAACTCGTTTAGATCACTATATCATTTTGATCGTCTATTTTTTCATACTTCGTGCCGTAACATAGCTCGAAAAATTTTTCTAACGAAATCCAGAAAGTGTACAGAAAGTTATGTACAGTTTGAGGTCGCGGTTAAACTGGAGCATCGATTTCCTTATAAAACATTTACTAAAGTAACGTATTTATAATTGTTATTATGTTCAAACATTTTCGGCGATAATGTATCGTTTGCATTAATTGTTTCAAACAAAGTGCGCGACTTGTACGCGCGTAAACGTATTCTTCGATAACCTAACCTCCTTTTGATACGTTGTGGAGAATCACAGAATATCGTAGAAAGAATGGCGGTTGGGTCGACGAAAGTGGTGCAGGTGACTAATATTGCGCCTCAGGCAACTAAAGATCAAATGCAAACTTTGTTCGGTTACCTCGGCAAAATAGAGGATATCAGATTATATCCTACTATACGGGATGTCGCGGTACCCGTACAGTCTCGTATTTGCTACATAAAATTCCACGATCAAGGATGCGTATCTGTCGCCCAACATATGACAAACACTGTTTTTATTGATCGTGCACTGATCGTTATCCCCTACCAGAATGGAGACATTCCAGACGAGCAAAGAGCCTTAGAACTAACAAACAATGGCACCGTTGTTCCAGGTTAGTACAGAAATAAATTTGCCTAAAATCGTGTGTGCATCTTTTGCAAACTATATTTTCTACTGTATATATATTTTTGTCTTAGGTCTCTATCCATCAGAACCCAAACTACCACCAAACTTTGTAAACGCCATCGAAGGAATTCCTCCGAACCATGTCATCACTACCATAGATCCAAAATTGGAGTCGAACGGTTTGCCACCTTATCCACACTTACCCGGTCATTTGGACAGCAGGAGGATAGAAGAGATTAGAAGAACGTTGGTTCTAGCTAACTTGGATCCTTCGATGACAACGGACCACCTGTTGGACTTCTTCAGTAATAATAACGTCGAAGTAAAATATTTACGGATGTGCAGCAGGGACTCTGACTCTGAACATTACGCGTTGGTGGAGCTGTCGGAACAAACGATCGTACTGTCCGCGTTACTGTTGAATGGAAAAATGCTTATGGATAGGCCCATTAAAATTTACCATTCTACGCAAGCGATAGCCAAACCGGAAGCAAAAAGCAACGAGGCGGCGCAAAAGGAGATCGAGGAAGCTATGTCCCGTGTGAAGGAGGCCCACAATTTAATTTCGGCCGCGATAGATCCGATGATCGGTATGTTGTCCAAGGACAAACGAAGCCGTAGCGGTTCCCGCAGTCGAAAATCGCGGTCGAGATCAAGGGGACGCAGTAGACGATCCAGATCGCGGAAAAGGTCACGATCCCGTCACAGACGTTCACGTTCCCGTCATCGACGCAGATCGAGATCTCGATCGAAACGATCCCGTTCCAAAGAACGCAGACGAAAGTCTCCTTCGCGCAGAAGGAGCAGTTCCCGGGGTCGACATCGCTCCCACTCTCGATCACGGCGTTCCCGATCACGCAGATCGCGATCCAGATCGAAAGACCGTAAGAAAAGATCACCGCGTCGGAGGAGCCGTTCACGATCGCGCAGCAAACGTTCGAAATCGAAGTCCAGACGATCCAGATCCAAATCCAAGTCCAGATCCTCCAAGTCGAAGTATTCGGAGAAGTCCAGGGACAAGGACAAGGAAAGAAGGAGCAAGGACAAGTCGGACAATGGAAAGAAGAGCGACGGCGACAAAGTCGAGAAGGAGAAAAGCGAGAAAAAGTCCAGCAAAGAGAAGAAGTCGGATAAGGAATCGAAATCGGATGAAAAGAATAGAAACACGTCCGAGAATAGCGAAACGAAAGAGAAAACAGAGTCTGAGAATTAAATTTTGACAAATCATCGGTCTACAGAGGGTTCATTTTGTTAATTTAATGTTACGATAATACCGTAATGTATTGATCAATAAAAAAAAGAATTCAGGAATGCAACAGTTCCAAGGATTTTCTCCAACTTTTGCATACCACGAAGAGACACTTTGTACAGTTATTTTTACGGATTACATAAACGGGGTACAAATTTTATTTATACGAACACTTTCGTACGTTTGACCCTTTTTGGTAATATCGGTGGCCGAGGATCCTCGTTTCCTTTACTACTTTCCTTTGAATACGAACACGATGGCCTATAAAATAATCACATTCATAAAACATAGTCGTTGGTACATGAAAATAGTTAAATGATTATTACCGTATTAAATCGTTTATGTACATCTCTTCGTTTTCTTTGTCGCTGTTAATATTCGCGGTCACGGGATAGCGAAAGAGCATTTTCTGCGCGTTCTTTATGGTCGACCTTCTCTTTAATACCGTCTGAAATGTATGTATTAAGTGTGTTAAACATCCTTCGCTCTTGTAATGTTTGATCAACTAACGTATTCTGATATAATAGTTTAATTTTAGATATCAACTTTTTCTATCAATATTTATAACTTACTACGCTGTTCGAACGTAACCTTGGATCATCGGAAATTGTAGTCATTTTAATGTCGTTATCGTCTTCGCCTTCAGTTTTCATTATGTTTTCTAATTCGCTGAATTCTATCGATAAACATTATCAAAATCTAAAGTGTAGTCAGAAATCAACATCAGTTGGCTGTTCAAAGTTACTACGGAACCATTCTCGTCTTTTTGTACTAGTTTGATAGAATCTTAATAGAAAGACAAACTGGCACGACGTAAAATTAAAAATCGTGCTCGATATAATCCACGATCGAGGAAGTAACCTTAAATAGCCAGTTGATTTTATTGTGACTACAAGTTACTCACGTACAACGTATTCATCGTATTGAGTAAGTGGATTGATACCCAAAAATGTCGACAATGTGTTCGGGTATCGAAGATCCATAAATATTAATAACGCAGCAATCAGTATACACGCTATACCTAAATCGTTGTAACGACAAATTATTTTAACACGTGAAATAAAATTTAATTTCCACCTAGCAGTTTAAGGCTACAATAACTCCCGCTTGCATATCATCCACTTAAAAGCAATGTATTCATAATTGTTTCTTTTTTTAACTTTTAACGAGGATTAAAGAAAGTGCAGCCTATTTGAATGTCCGGATGCATATGGATGCTTTCTTGTAATGTGAATAATGGCAAAAACAAAAGTCGTAGACAGTCCAAATATGCCCCACTTCCTTTGTTATTGTCATTCATTACCGCAACAAAGCGTCATCCAAAAGTGTTGGCCAAGACGTATGCGTATGGTATCATCTTCAAAAGGTATTACAAGGGGAGTTGGATTATGCACGGCAATCCATACAATGCAGGCTAATATCTGTAAGATACCAGTTGTCGCGGTAAAATATGCCGCGTATCGACCCACGGTCTGTAAAAATATGTTGGCCAATATCCATCCAGCAAACGCTGCCCTATTTCATCAAATTTATCATGGGCATGTTAAAACAGGAGTAATAATAATTTGTCAAAAATATGTAACGAAGTTACGTTAATAAGAAAGGTGTATGAATTTAACAATTTAATTTAATAATGCACTCGTGTGTCAGTAGATCGAATGGACAATAAATTTGCATATCCCCACCCTTGTGACAGAAAGTTTCAATCTTTATTATTAATAAAGGGTATATATTCAATCAATTAATATTATTTAGTCATTGTGCAGGAACGGAAGTTAAATGCATGTGGCATATGAAGACCGATGAAAACTAATACTAAATTGACACGTCAGTGACGACATTCAAGCCTTCTGTTGCTACAACGTCCATATTTGACGTCAAATAGTTCGTTATCTTCAACGAACTGTTCCACGACAAACTTGGGCGTTTTGCCGTAGATGGCAGTGCAAATCATGTCCCACCGATGGGTCACAGTCAAGGCCGGGGACACACGAGCGTCGGAACGACGTCCGTTTCTATGTTCTTCCTTGTCTTACAATTGAAAAGACATAAAAACGCCGATCTTGTCTGTTTTAGTTGTTCTCAATTGCTAGTCAAAGTGTCGTCTAAATTCGAAGACAACGAACCATTGTTCTCAATAATAAAATTTTCCTATTATTATTTATATACCTCGCGTGTGCTTGAATATAGGACATACAAACCATAACAAGATGTGACAATACCAGCCAGCAGTACGATAGAATCTACCAAAACGTATACCTTCGCCATCGATCGTCAAATATTCGACGGTCCAAAGAATCGGTATGGGTAAGCCTCTCTTTTGTGCATCTCGATAGTTTCGTTGCAAAAGCCCAGCTTCAATAAAGATCGATGCGTTGAAACTTATACTTTTTAAATCTTTAATATGATAACTTTAACATTCGTATACCGTATGGGCCAAATCCAAATTTTCCTTGATCCCAGGTCCACCAAAATCTTTCGTTATAGTTAATAGTTTCTTTCGCGAGAGGTGTTCCATCTTCTCCTTTACCTTAAATTAATTCGACAAATTTTCAATAATTCACGTGTTAAGAATCGCGATGGAAACAATAGTTTTGTTGTTAAAATATATTTCTCATTAACGGGTACCTTGTAAAGTGACGTTCACTGATCGTAAGCCTATTTTCATGCCTATGAGAGCCTCGATTTCGTACTCTTCACCAGCTCGATAAGGAGCTCTAGTTTTCGCGAAACCCACCTCCCATTCTTGCCCAAAATTTTCCACTTCAAATTGTATTGTTATTGTTAAAAATAATGAAGACACTTGAACTGATTTTATTTTGTTTTATAAATCAATTCTTACCAACTAACAAACATCCTATTGTAACGCTGGACATCACTTTCACGCACGTGTAAATACACTTTAAATATAATTCACTTTAATGACATTTAAAATGCACAAAATTCGATTAATAGTTAAAATAATATAGGTACCTGTTTTTTACTGTTACCCGATATGACACTGAAATAAGCGATTCCTATAATAGTAAAAAATACTATGACGATTATTTCCGTCACGTCAAATAATACTGGCAATTCGTTCGGTGTATATCGCGATGGAAAACCTTCGATTCTACCAAAATCGAATATCGCCATTTATTAAAAATTACAGCGACCACAGGTTCAGACTTAGCAACGTTCACTCGATCACTACAGCCTTTATAAAAGTTTCTTGAATAAGAATACCCAAGAAGATAAGCGTCAAAATACTATTATCTCATTTCCCTTTCCGTTTATCATTAAATTTTTTTTTGCTACGACTTTGCTGATGACTAATGACAACTAAATTTATTATTTCAATTCAGAACTGATTTTTCGGAAAGTCAATCTTTTCGTAGCAATTTTCTGGTCGGTATGACAGTAAATTTGGGCCACGAAAGTTCATAAGGTGTAAGCTCATAAGGTGTCTACTCGTATACCTTGTCTGCGGCCAGACTTTCGTTCTTTACGAATTTTACGTACCGACGATAATAATAATACGTGAACTTGTAAAAAAGAAATGATAATGATATCTAGCGATCAAAGAAAAGAGGTAAAGAATTGTTTAATTAAAAAATTCTTGTTCAATGTTTTCGAAACGCGCGCTAGTTTGTCGATGGCAGCACCAAATAATAGTAAACGTGTGTGATCGACTGCATTCAAGTAGATTTACGTGTTCTCTGATCGTAAGTTATTAGTAAAATGATCATATTATAATCTTCAAAATACTATCTTCAATGACAGATGAAGGAATATAATTGGTTCGTCCGTTTGCAAGTCGAGGAAGGTATATTATACAAAGCAGATCGAAATTATCGTTAGGTTATGCACGGGTAGCAGTAAAAACATCAATTTGAAGTCTATGTGTTTAGAAAGAACGCAAATAATTGATCGATTAATTGATTCGCAAAAGCATTAAGTTTCAATTGAACGCTCGATATTGTTAAAGGAAAGTTCGCGTTTAGAATAAAAATATTTATTTTTGATTTTCTTACGCGACGAATCGTACTAAAACGCTAGGTTAAATGGTAAAGATGACACCGCAAGACGAAGTGAAGCTGAGGCAAGGTGTTTTAATGGTACGTATCTTTTCTATAAATGTACACTCGAAATTTTATCAACATATGTGTTTCGATGACACGATGTAACAACCACTGTACTTTCTAGTATCAACATCCAGAAACCACCAAAAAGCACGTCTATAGCGTTCTAAGTCTTTACAAGGGATTGCATTACAAAGTAGAACCGTTTGGTAAATATTTGCGAATGCATAGTTTTAGAAAACCTTGTTGATATTAATTAATTATTTAATTTACATGTTGTTTTATGCTAGTGTTTAACGATGGATCGTGCAAAGAATTAATCAACTTACAAGGCACAATACCTGTGTCTTATCAAGGTAATACGATATCTGTGAAAATACTCGTTATATATGATAGTTACAGTATGAAAATAATTTTCGTTTCCGTGCTCAGGTAATTGCTACAACATTCCTGTATGTATATGGCTAATGGATACACACCCAAATAACGCACCCATGTGTTACGTTAAACCTACAGCTGACATGCATATAAAAATCAGCATGTTTGTTGATCATAATGGAAAGATTTATTTACCTTATCTACATGATTGGTTGCCAGTGAGTAATTTGTATATTGTAATTACCTATGTGAATATCTTATTGTTAAGTACCCCATAACACCTTTATAATAACTATGAATTTATTCTATGTTCAGCATTCGTCCGATTTACTAAGTCTAATTCAAATAATGATCGTGACCTTTGGAGAAAATCCACCTGTCGTTGCCAAAGAACGACAAGAGAACCCACCAACTACTACACCGTATCCCATAATGCGTAAGACGATGTAACTTACGAATATCTTTTTAGTCGATTCTAATACTAACGGCGGTAAACTTCTATAGCTATCATGCATGGACCTGGCGGTTCTAATTTTCCGCCTCATCTACAAAATTCTCAGTATACGGGTGGAAGTAACGTATATCCTCCATACATGCCTACACCATCATCAGGATTTCGGTATCACAATTACGTACCTTACGGCGGAACCGCTTCGAATTATCCACCGCAAGGATATAATTTCCCGTATCCTTCAACGACGCAACCAGTGAGTCGAAGATTTCGCTAAATAAGACGATTATTTGCCTTTGATTCGAATACTGATTAAATTTTCATCCTTTGTAAGTCTCCGACGATACCTGGCACTGCCAGCGGATCGGGTACAATCGGGGAGGAACATATCAGAGCATCGTTATTATCGGCGGTGGAGGATAAATTAAAACGTAGGCTCAAAGAACAATTCTCGCAATTAGTGGCCGAACTAGAAACATTACGACGTACGCAACAAGAACTTATGAGCGGTTCCGATCATCTTAACGACTTGTTCGATAGATTGAAGAAAGAGAAGGCGGAGCTCAAAAAGAATATAAATATACTTCAAGACAAAGAAACCGAATTGGAGAAAGAAATCTCGAAGCTTTCGGACAATCAATCGATAGACGTTGATGAAGCTGTTACTACGATCGCACCACTTTACAAACAGTAAGTGTTTAGTGAACCGCGTGTTTATTAATTTCTTTGAGAACGTGCGTTTATTAATTATTTACTTACAGAATGTTGAATGCGTTTGCGGAAGAGGCTGCCACGGAGGATGCAATATATTATCTCGGCGAAGGTTTACGTTGCGGTATCATTGACTTGGACGCGTTTCTGAAACAAGTACGGCAACTATCGCGTAGGCAATTCATGCTCAGAGCGCTGATGCAACGTTGTCGCCAAAAAGCTGGATTGGCTGGTTAAGTTATCTGTTTGATTTTTATAAAGTTACGCTATTTAATATTTTATTTTATTACAAACGATGTATTCGCAATGAATTACATAAATACTATATTAAGTAGAGAGATATATAAATATATTAGAGGCAAGGAATTATCATTGCAAGTCCAGAAAGTATTCCTTATGGATTGAATACTATGTTTCAGCATATTTTTTATTTCATGTTGTATACATATTGTTTGTAACAAAAAGAATTATATGAATATGAAGCTTCTATACAGAAAATGAAATAAAAAATATTATATACATATGTGTAAAAGAATAAATGAAGGTTTAAGTATTGCAGTAAGAGATTAAATCACCACTGTTTAACGAAATTATATTTCTAAACGCGATATACTCAAAAATCTGTAAAAAATAATCGATTTAATTCTTTTTATATTATAAAGAAATAATGGAACTAAGATAGAAATTTTAGATATTAAGAAATATAAATGCTTATTTACTGTATAATAAATGTATACACAAATCACTACATTGCACGTTTTTAGTAAAAATACATTGTTTTTATTCTTACGCAATGTGGAATTGTTATATAATTATTTAAATGCAAAATCTTTTAATGTTACATACAGACATAAAAAATTTATATTTAGTATCCATACCATTAACCTGAAACAAAAATACAAAGAGATATCTTGTACGCGCAAATATGGATTGTTGTGCTTTGTTTATTTTAATTTTGATTAAATTACATACCTATACATAAATGCCAACCCAAAGAAGTAAGAACAATACACCAAACCCAGAAAATATTGCTGCCACTAAAGATATTAATAATTCTTTGAACATATCCCTCGTAAATTTTGTGCTAGTGACTTCATATACAAAGAACCAGGCTGTGAAAAATATTCCAATCCCTAATAATACCACTGCTAATAATGGAAAAATTGCAGGGTTTATAGGAGAGACGTATCTCGTCATAGACTCGATTTCCACCTGAATCAAATAAAAATCAAAATTAATTTAAACAAGAAGATACTTATATCGATTTATTAACCTATTATTAATTGTTTAGCCTGCAGTACACTAAATAAGTCAAATATTTTTATTTTAACTAAAATGTAATCGTAACTAACTGTTAAACATGCGAAACTCTGGCTGAAAAATAGAATGCAACTGGGAAAAAAACTAATTTAACAGAACGTAAGATACTTAATGTGGTAAATATGAGTAAAATGAAGTACGCGATAATGTTATTAAGTGATTACATTGCTTCAAACTGAGCATTGTACTTACCATTGTACTAAATAAATATTTTGACGTGGCTTGATTAAGGGACACGTAAAAAGGATTTACATTGACTTAACACGCTGTCGGCGACAATATGCATTCATATGCTGCTAACTTCACTGTACGATACGGTCATGAAGGAAGCAAATGTAAGTCAGCTGCCACTAATCAAAATATATATCCCTTTAATTTACAAAGTCAGTAAAAGTTTCTTGGTAATTTACATCGTGTATTGAACAGAAAATAATATCTCTGTTGTCAAAAGAAAAGTATAACGAATTATAATCTAACGTTGTTTTGAAAACTAGTTATTGAAGAAAAACACGTTCAAGCACATCTCGAAATTTTAAATGACGTATAAACCTTCGATTGATGAGAGCACGATTCCACTTTCCTTTAATACGATCGATTCGTTCTACGTTCAGAATTGCAATAATTTACGATTATTATTTATATATGCTGCACGATCGTATGTATTTACGTACATAAAAAAAATATGATGTAACCTTAAGAATTCTTTTGTAACAAAATATTTTGCCACGAAAAGTATAAACTTGCGTGCACAGAATAAATCTGTTTTGTGTAAAGCATCATTATCTCTTTTGGTGTTTTATACACAGACGATGTTTGTTAAAATTTTTTATTCTAAAACAAACAATGTTTAGTCCTACCGATGCATATTCGATGCACGTTACGTATGCATGTTTATATGCGTATATATAGAGAGAGATTATAGAGTATGTACTTTGTATTATCAATTCGAAAATGTTTGAATCGCGATTCCTTCGGTATCGATTGTAAGTTTGTCACGATGGTATGATTCATAACGCGTAACATAGTATAATATTACCGATCTTTACGTTCTTTGATATCTGCAAGTATTTTTATACGTATCGTAGTCGATATATCAGTATTTTATACACATAAATGCAATAACTTGTTTTTATCGAGAGTCGGAATGAATTACGATTTCTCTAGAATTTTATAAAAATCGTTTAATAGTAGAAAATTAAACTTGTAGTGATTAAAGTCTTTAACATTTGCACACTTTTATAACGTAAATTCATTAAAATGTCTTGTTCTAAAATTTCTATTCTTTACAGGTGAAAATGGCAAAAACTTCGCTGTCAGAACAATTCTCCTTAAGATGGAACAACTTCTCTAGCAATTTGACATCTGGATTTTTAAGTCATTTTACTGAAAATGATCTAGTCGATGTCACACTCGCTGTAGAGGGTCAATTGTTACAGGCACACAAGTTGGTCCTGTCAGTGTGCAGTCCATATTTTAAAAATATATTTAAGGTATAGAAATTAATATTATATATATTAAATATACTTATAAGTCACAATAGCTCAGATAAGAGCTTCTTAGGATCATTTTATAGGAAAATCCTTGTCAGCATCCAGTAATTATTCTTAAAGACATGAAGTATACAGAAATTGAATCATTGTTGAAATTCATGTATCAAGGTGAGATTAACATTAAGCAAGAAGATTTGTCTACTTTCTTAAAAGTGGCGCAAACATTGCAAATCAGAGGACTCGCAACGGAAGACACAAGTAGCACAAAAACATTTTCCAATTGCGACGATCAATTAAATATAGAATCTAATGCTGAAAGTACTGATCACTCGCACTTAAACGCGATAAATAAAATTTACAAAGATGTTGAAACGATAGAGAGAAGGAAAAGGACTCGCGATACGGCAGGAAGAAGCGACAAGAAAAAGAAATGTAATACGTTTACTGTATCAGAAAATGTTCATGATTTATCGAATGAAGAGGTAGATGATAATAATCAAAAAGCTCAGTTTTTAACAAATAAAGATACAGACGATTCTACGCACGAAAATAAAGATAACAATATTCCTGTAGTAAAAAATTATGATAATGATCAAAAAGGGGATTCCGCTGAGACGAACGATGCACAGACTTCGAAAGAAAGTCCTACTCAACAAGGTGAACAACTTTTACGTGTAAAAGCTTGTTTAGTAATATTGTAAAAAATAAAATTTAATAATCGAGTTAAGAGAAGAGTAGATATTGATGTGATGTGTTTTAAATTATAGCCGTAGAGCCAGTAATTTACAGACTATCTGCGCGAGGTCGACCGCAATTAGTTCACGAGGGGTATGTTTATAATTTAACATCTCGTTCAGAGGTTTTGAACAGATCTCATTATCGATGCGCGGAACAACATCGCGGATGTAAAGGTAAATGCGCAGTTATCGCGGAAAGATTTATGCCGACGGGTGTACACGATCATAATCATTCGCCTGAATATCAGTCGGAACATGAATACAGAAGAAAAAAGGGTTTAGATGTTGATACTCCTTAAATTATAATCTACTTGAGCTTACAAACAGCAATTTATCATATTACAGTTTTGTTGGAAAAGTCACAGTAGAACTAAAAAGTACTTTCCAAATAATATTATTACAGTATATGATACTAGTGTTTAATAAATAACATTCAGTATTTTTAAAATACAAAATTTTAATTTGCTGCACAATTCTTTTGCAAATACTGAAATTTAATAAATTACGTTAGTTCATACAAACGTGTAGTTTATATTACTGTAAATATACAATTATTATTATAACTAACATTAATATGATGGGCCAATTTTAACATGTTATTGTATTTCAATTGTGATGCACTGGTTCGAAATTTATGAAGCAGATTAGAAAAACGGTGATAAGCACATTCCATTTAGTATTATACTTAAAAATGAAACAAAGCCAAATAAGAGTATTTAATTTATATTATCTGTTTATATGTAGAATAATACCTATATAACGAATTTCATTTGTTATTATAAATACACGTTGACGCACACGTGGAAACTTGTATGTATGTACATATGTACATATAAAACTCTACATTCTGCATATTTACATTTTAAGTTCTTGTAAAAACAATGTTTATGTATGTTATCAGAGGAAGTAACAAACTTCATAATATATAGCGATTAACAAGTAAATATGGAAAATAGTATAAACGTTAAAAATTATAAAATTTATTTTTATATTAATCTTTTCATTATAAAATTCTTTTCTTGAATGCTGGAGCACTGTTATGGAAATTAATGCGATAGTGCTTATAAAAATTATTCGATTTTCACGATAATTAATTTTACGGTATTTATACAAATTTGTGTAAAAGGCAATAGTCTTTCAGTAAATGAAGTAAAGTATATGAAACAATGCAAGCTGAAACAAAGGCAGTTTCTGTTTCGTAATCTTGCTCAAGTCTATCCCCATTCCCGCAAAATTCATAAATATTTATTAAAAATGCATCTGCATTTTCGAAGGAAACATTAATGCCGCTTTGCCATCTTTTTTTCCAACTTCCGTTGTTTCTTTTCGCTAATTTCGGGTTGTTCGGAAGCGGGTGCAAAGAACCATGGGGCTAATATTTTTTTCCATAGCATCCAACCTACTGTTATTGGCGCCTATAATAGCAGAATGTAAAAATTGCATAATCCAGTTAAGCACATTGAATAATTAATAATGTGTATGGAGAGCATACAAAAAGTGAAAAGGTGTAATTTTAAATAGTTTTATGACGTGATGTAGTATTTTATATTTAAATTTTTTGTTTGTTTTATTAAATATACTTACAAGAAGCCATAACCACCAAAAATAATTTGATATAAGCGAAAGTACTTGTACCCCTGAGGTTAATATAATTAAATCTTTTACGTGTCTGGAATAAAACAAAGTGTTATTATATGTAAGAAACATAACTTGAAATGTAATAAACATGTTGCATTATTTTAAAATGTTATTAATATGGTCTGTAATATTTACTCTGCTATACCGCCTTCCATATTAAGATCAATGCCAGAATCACTAAGAACTCCAGATTCTGAATATGTTGCTTGTGCTATATATTTCATAAATTGATAACTTCCTATATATACAATTCCAGAAAATATGGTTAATGTCTGGAATTATAATATACTGTATAATATAATAATAAACATTGATTCTAGCAGTACCATATTTTTATGTGCATTGTTCCAAAGTATCCAGTCATGATGATGCGAATAAAAAACTTACTATTGACATTATTGTAAATTCAAAGAAGAATATCATAATAGTAAAGTATATTCCAAAAGCTCCAAGAATCATGTTACGATAAAAGCTTAATGTTGTTCTATTGTCCTCCACAATCTGTTTTGCTCCTTTTGTTGCCACTTTAGCCTTTTTAGTCTAAATAAATATCAATATTATTTAGTATGTATTTCATTACATAACTAATCATCGTTATAAATTATTGTTCGTCGATTAAATTATATATATTTTAAAATATAAATTTTATGAAAATAATTTGCATATTCAGAATCACCTAATTGTAATAAATATGAAACACAAGAATTTTGTAAATAATTTAGTAAGAAACGTACCATCATTTTTCGTTTATAAATTACAGCGAATGGAATATCGGTATGCCCAAAGAATTAATATTTGTTCAATAATCGATACACGACACAGACTTAACCTTCTTAAAAGTATTCAAAAATACTTCGATTCTACGTTGAAGCCACGTGAAAGACGTATGAAAGAAAAGTCTCTAGTCTCTAGATTAGCATTTCTCAATCCGTAGCTTCAATACGAATATGTAAATAAAACAAGCATTATTCTTTTGTCTTCCTGGAATCCCATGCTTCGATAATTAAAAACATAATCAAAAAAACTGCTACATTATCGAAAAACTTGTTGATAAGCAAACATAACATATGCATGTATAAATCATTGGTTCATCGGCGTGAGAAAACATTTTACCGATTTAAATTAAATTCATTGCAATTTTGCTTCAATAATGTATTTATCTTCTGTTTAATCATACAGAAACTAAAAATTAAAATTACTACGTAATAAACGCTTCAAATGACCGCGGGATATGAAAGCAAAAGCAATATCAAGGTATACAGTGTATCTCATTCGCCTTGAATCAGATTGTAAGTTCCGTAGGTATTTTAAGAGATGACCAGGATGACGTTATCTGTGGTATAGGGCAGTGTTACCAGACCGCAGTCTGTCCAGTGCCCAACTGAAGCTGCCCCCTACTTACACACACTAATGTACAGCTACGTAACCGAAGCGTCAGTGCTAACATATATGTGGCTGTGTATAAGTGTACGTAAGTGGTGGGGCAGCTTCAGTTGGGCACTGGACTGCCGTCTGGTAACATTGGTGTTGTACTTAGGGTGTAGTTAACTTTTCGGAGTACAGCTATGAACGATGGCGTCTCCTCGTCCAAAATCACCACGTCCACCTATTTCTGCAAAGAAGGATGATAAGGAAGAAAGTTTCTGGGATAAAATTGGAACCTTGGGCCGAAAGAAGCGAATTAAAGAAGGTATCGCGTTGTGTTTAGTGTAACATCATCAAAGTAATCTTGCTCACACTCCCTTTCTGCGTGTACGGAATACACTTCCATATATGGTATGACTTGTTTGTTTTTCAAATTCTCCTCTGCAACTATGTCAATAAATTTATAAACCACACTATATAGAAGAGTTGCGTAAATTTTATTTATGAATTACGAATAAAAATTTCAAATTCATTCGTAAACTAGTTTTTATTCGCGATCTTGCTTGCCTGAATGTCAGTTTACAAAATTTCTTAATAAATTGTAATTTATAAATGAATGCACGAATGAAACGTAAATGGAAGTTAGTCCACTAATGAATCTAATGTTTTTATTCGTTCTTCGCGAATAAAATTTGCCGAATTTTGCTGTATAGTAAAAATCATAATACAGATTCATGTTCGTCAATGTGTTTCTACAAAGTCTTCTTAAAATTATAGTTGGCTATAGATTTGTCTTCTACAGTTGTTTTCAGCTAATTGAGACACACAAGAACTAGAATAATTTGTCCCAAATAAATGGTTTTCTTGAGTAACCAATGCCCCAAATTACTGGAATGTATTCTATCTGTTTGTTTGCAGTGCAAAAAGTACAAGAAGAGGGAAAGTATGCAATTGATTCACCAGGATATGCAGCTAATCCAGAAATGCCACCAGAAGAATATGCATTAGATGAAAATGAAGAACGTTCCATGATAGAGCCTAGATCTTTGGAGGACTCCAAGCTCAAAGAATTGATATTTGTTTTGATCGAATGGATCAATGATGAATTGGCTGATCAACGTATTATTGTGAAAGATATTGCAGAAGATCTTTATGACGGACAGATATTGCAGAAGCTGTTAGGTATGCTTAAGCTTTAAGTTTAAAACAACAAGTCACTAATAACACTAACTTATTGATTTTTAGAGAAATTGACAGGGAAAAAGTTGGATGTTCCCGAAGTGACTCAGTCAGAGGAAGGTCAGAAACAAAAATTGGCCGTTGTTTTGTCGACCGCTAATCGCGTATTAGATCGATACCCTCCTTATAAATGGAGCGTGGAATTGGTTCATTCAAAGAACATCGTTGCTATTCTACATTTACTGGTCGGTTTGGCGAGGCAATTCCGTGCTCCCGTGAGATTACCAGAGAGAGTGGCCGCGCAAGTCGTCATTGTACGTAAAAAGGATGGCCAATTGATACACAGAACGATCAGAGAAGAAATTACATCGACGTACGACGATTTGGGAATGCGATGCGAACGCGATGCTTTCGATGATCTTTTCGATAATCCGCCCGATAAGCTAGCTGTCGTTAAAAAAGTATGTTTTCGCTTGACATATGAAAAATGAGCCAACCGAACCTTAATCAAAATCGTCCAAATTATGTTTTTTTTTTTTATTTCATAGTCGTTGATTACTTTCGTCAATAAACATCTGAGTAAAGTGCACTTGGAGGTGACGGATTTGGATACGCAATTTCACGACGGAGTATTTTTAACGCTTTTACTTGGTCTCCTCGAGGGTTTTTTCGTCCCTCTGGGTAGCTTCCACTTAACACCTAAAACACACGATCAAAAGGTGCACAACGTTTCGTTTGCATTCGACATTATGCAAGATATTGGACTACCGAAACCTAAAGCCCGGTCGGAAGGCAAGTCGTCAAGATAATTGTCGAGAGTAAATATTAATTAGTAAAATTAATTTCATCCTGTTCACAGATATCGTAAATTTGGATCTGAAGTCGACTCTACGAGTATTGTACAATTTGTTTACTAAGTACAAAGGCATGAACTGAAAAGGAAAAACGTTTCGTCGGCGAAGTGAACTTAACAAGACGCGACAAATTAACGCTGCAATTAACGGTATTACCGATATACTAACCAAAGAATATATTTTGTGTATCAAAATAGCAAACGTATAATTATTGACACATTTACCGGGGTGGGAGGGCGGGGAGTCATTCGAAGGTTCTAATTTTTTTTGACGCTGTTGTTTAAACTAGAATTAAACATTTTACATTTTATACGTTCGTCATAAATTTTACAAGATAAAAAAAATATATTGTGTAATTTTTGAAACTGTGTTCGATAATTTCTACTCGATAATTCCCTTTCGTTACACGTAATTTAAATTTAAGCTCGATCGAAGTTCCGCTGTCTAGTTTGACAAAGATTCGAATAAATTGTTTGATGTCAGCGATTTGTTTCAAGCAATTTACCGGTATTAAACGATCGATCGACGCGTAATCGTAGGACGAGGACGAGCGGTCGATACTATCCTGCTCCGTTCCGCTCTGTCCTTTCTAGGAAATCTTTTTCTGTTCGTCGAAAGATATACTCGATGAAGAATACATTGAGCAAACGACTCGTTTTTAGCACATAATTGTCTTCCTTATCGTCAACGATCGACAGTATTCAACGGTGGTGTATTCGCATGAAATTTCACGATGCACTCAGCGTTCCGAGATTTATCGTCTCGGCTGTGATGCACGACGTTTTGCCTATCTACGATCATGGTATAGAATGCGATACATAAATGGAGCGAGGCACGAAGGAGACACGGAACCGGCGGAATAAGATCGTCGAGACGGTCGACGATCGGCCCTATCGTGGATCGGATGGATCGCTGCGGACCGACGTGCAGATCGTCGCTCGCAATTTCGCGAAACATATTGCCGGAACACGCGACGTTGCGACACAATCCTGCCGTAGTAAAATAGGAACCTAACAGTTTCTTCCATTTCTCGAGCTCTCTTTGTAACGGAAAAGTCACCGAGCGCGTACGAGGATTTCGATTTCGTCGCACTCCCCACATCTCTTTCGTTTTTCCAACGTTCGTTAAGCCAACGCAAGCTAATATTCTCATCAACGTTTCGACAGTTTTGGGTAGCGTGTCGGTGTTTCATCGATTCGATCTTTATCTTTACAAACGACGACTTTTATACCGAGTTTCCAGTGTTCTTCATTTGGTAAGGGAATTAGAAATAACACAGGCATAGCTAAATTGTAAAAAATATAATAACTAACAGGAATCAAATGTGTTTATGATCGGTAGGGGATACCGATTTCCAATGGCGACCAGCTTTGGTTGCACGAAGGACGACGAGGACGACGGATTGGAAGATGCGTCGACGACCCGGGGAAACGTCAGGTTTCGAAATAGAAGAACGTTCGTCGAGTATGCAAAAATTCTTCGTATCGTTTTGGCGAGATGGATATCGATTTGTAGCCAGCTTCGCGACGAGAAATTGAACGAGGAAGCGGATGACTTGATTTTGCCAAGCAACGAAGAGTGGCGACATCGTGTCTATTATAGATTGGTTGAATTGCAAAGAGAATGCGACGCGGAACTCGTGATGAAAAGGTGATCCCTTTTTTTTAAATAATTGATCAATCGCTATAACGATTCGTAAAATTAAGAAGCATTGAAATTTTAGGGCGGGCGAAGCTGAACTGGAAATGCAATGCCCAAAAACGGAAACGCAGCCGATAACGATCACGGAGTCGAAGGTGGAGGAGCAGAGGAACAACTGGGAATGGGAACCAGAGGTTTGCGAGTATGCTTCGAAGGGTAAAACAAGGAAAAATCGGGTGGTAGAATCGACGGGGTCAGTGACGAGCGTACGCGGGATCGTCGGTTCGATGACGGAAGCCTGTGTTCAGCCGGGTTGGCGCGTCAACGATATTTTGTTGGCTGCAAAGGTCCTTCAAAGAGATTCAACTTCCCCCGCCTATTCCGACGAGGCCGAGATGCGTCGAGTATTCGGACTCGTTTACGACGTACTTAGATGTAAGTTCTTAATCCCTCGTTAACCGATTAAAAAATGTAAATTTCTCATATATTTTCTTTTCACGTTCTCCTTAGACAAGAAGATTTTCAGCCGCGCTCTGACGGAGGTACAATTTTGGCGTCGCAACGTCTCGTTGAAGGATCGAGAGAGGATCGTTTGGTTGCTGCTGTACGACATGCAAGGGAGGAAGTTCGCGAGACGAGGCGAGATCGCCGCCGTCGAGGAGCGCGAGAACATGTTTAAAGTAAGTCGATTATCGTAAAGATGTTATACGATATGGAAATAAGTGAACTGCTTTCGTTCGTTAGGCTGCTGGATTGATGGACATCGAAAAGGCTCTTCTGGAGGCGAAAACGCATCTAGCCGCGAGCGTCTCGCGTCTGCGAATCCGCGGCTCGGCGCTCAGTCTCGGTGAATACCTTTGCGCTTTAAATCCTTTGAACACGGGATCCGTTGAAACACACGGTAGAAATTAAGTAGAGAAAGAGACGTAGATATCGCGAGTACACCGGTAACGATAATCTGTGCAAATTTCATCGGCGCGCGATGCTCGAAAACGCGAAGACGAGCTGTTGCCGGCGCGTTTGCGTATCATCGAGGGCGTCACTTGGGGCAAGGAAGCCGCGGTGGCCACCGGATGGGTCAACAGCAACAAGATCCCCGACAAGGCGGAATTCCTGCAAGAAATGCTCAAGTTGAAGTTGGTGCATTCGGAGAACGGGGACCCGACGGAGCTCGAGGACACCGGTTACGTGTTCGACTCGATTTGCCCAAGGATGGTCAACTTGCACGAGAAAGCACGGGAGACCGTGGCCGTGTCCAGTCTTGTTCGCGATCATCGTTTCGTATTTCTAGTGAGTAAATATCTACGATGGTGTAGTCAAGTCTGGTAATTGATATGTACGAACGTTTTGTGTTCGATCGACTAGGAAAAATCGTTGTGTCTGGGCGCAGCGGCATTGGCGCGGGCGATTCGTGTCGGACGTTTCTGTGGCCCGGTGGTTCTGACGCATTCGCTTGCTCCTCGACACACGGGATACCTGGCCGAGTTGCTGGAGGACATCGAAGACGCCGGCAGACTATTGGCTTTCGGAGCTGGTGATCGTTGTTGCGAATACGAAACGTATTTAAGAGACCTCGGCGTCACGTTGCAACGGTGTCGCGTGTTCTCAGAAAAGTACGACTTTGTCTCTTTAAACCACCGATGAGCAAACCCGAAACCACTGAACTTCAGGACAAAAGTTGCACAGACCCTTTGACCATAAGTTTCCGTTCCTTCAGATACTCGTCGCATCCCGCGATTGCTGAATTGGAGAGAGCTACCATAGTTCTCGCGATACCGCCGTGCAGCTATACCGGTGTCAGGGATATCGTTGATCTTGCCGTGGCCCGCGGTGGGGACGCCGATCTTCTCGAATCGCTGACGAACGCCTGCGCCACCGAAGACGACCAGGACGAGATCGAGCAGCCGCGTGCTCTGTTGGCCGATCAAATGTCCACTCTGAAATACGCTTTGACCAGGCCGAACGTTCAGTTTCTCATATACGAAGCGCACACGATCTTGCCCTCGGAGACGACGGAAATGGTTCAACAAGTGGTCGATTACGTTAACCGAACGGCCGCGGAGAAGTACATACGCGATCATCCGGTAAGGCTGTTGATCCGTCGAAGCTCGCGGTAGTTGATTATTTCTTCCTGGTTTTTTTTTCGCAGACGAAGAAGAAGGCGCCAAAAGAAGGCAGGGATCCGTCGAAGACGAGCAAGCTGGAAAGATCGAACGAAACGGGAAAGGACGATCGTGTGTCTATGATTTCCGCGAACATCAGCGTAAGGTTCTTTGCTCTGTACCTTAAGATCACTCACGGTCGATTAACCACTCTCTCTTAAAAAATTCTAGATCCCGGACAGCGATCTTTTCGAAGTGGGCAGTATCGACGACATTTACGGAGAGAACGTCAGTCACATGCTGGATCCAGGATGTTTCCTCGCTGTGATAAAAAGAAAGGAAATGATGCAGTTCGACTCGTTGTTTATGATCAAGGTAGCGGAATCCAAAGGGTTGTTCGGCGATCCCAACGAACAGCGAGAGACGAAACGCGAACTGCTTCCTCTCGATCGTTCGTCCCGACGACTCTCGCTGATTAATCCACGAAAACGGACGAAACGTTGCAAGGTTTGTTTCGTTTATTTATTTTAATAATGGCAACCCAAACTGGTGCCCCTTCGATTGCTTTTCTTCCCGTAGATCGAGATCGAACGAATAATGGCCCACACGCACTCCTCGTTGACGAAAACCATGCACGAGAATCCAGTTTGTCCGCGGCATGAGCGTCGTCAAGCTTGGAGGGACAATGTTCGGCCGCAGGTACGCGAAAGAAGAAAATGGAACGGGCGTTATCGTCGCTGCTATCGAACGAACGCGATCACGATCGTGACCGATTCTTTCGACGACGCGTCTTCCTCGCAGACCTTCAAACTCCCGTATCCGTGGACTATAGTGACGCCTCGACTTCCACTGAAACTCGATAATCGTCGAACAGTCGTGACCGAATGCGTTCGGATCCGGGACTCGATTAAAAATCCATTTAAAAAACGCGCGTGATCTCTAGATCATTTCTGGTATAAACATATAAGTTCTGCAGTATCCATTAGGCGATTCCAGTATACTAGTATCGTTGTAGTACTAGGCCCATCTAGTGGATACTGCAAAACAGAAAAAAAGGTTTGTTGGATAGTGTAATTAATTAAGTGTTACGTTGCTAATCGCTGACAGACGTTGCAAAGTTTCCGCGACGTCGAACGTTCGTACAACTGGCAAAACCAGATGGAGAGCGTGAATCGCCTAAGTGTGCCCGTTCGCGCGAAATCGTCGCGAAAAAAGGCAGGTAATTATATTTTGAATCGATCGTACTTGACGCGATGACTCTTTTTGCGGATTACGTTAAAGCAGGAGTTGCGAGAGATCTCCTCGTCGTCCTCTACGAGCGTGTCTACGGCTCGTTCCGAAGTAAATGCGTTCACAGACGGAACAGTATCGCGACAAGAGGAAACCTCGTCCGTGCTAATTAACTCGTTCAGCATCGAACCTTTGATACGGTAATCATTTCAATTTTTCCCATTCTCCCTAACGTTCCTGGATCATTTCCTGTAAAGGTAAAGGTTTGTAAAGGTAACTAAACAAATAAAATCTAGTCGCGGACTTAAATACTCCGATGACCTGTCGAGCACGATTCTGCGATCACCGATTCTGGCTCGAGCGCTACGACGCATTCCGCTGGAGAACGACGTCGAGGAATCTGAGGAAGAGGACGTCAACCTACACCCGAAAACTAGTACCTGGTGGGGAGTGTCGAGAAGAACGTCGCGACTTCTTCGTCCAGGCGGTTCTATCGAACATGCTCGACTACCTTATAGTTATCGGTTAGAAGCCACCACGGACCGTCCGATTTCTTCTTCGCGCGATTTCTAGTTCATTTTAGAAATCTCGATGATTGTTCAAACGAATCAAATAAAATAAATGCGACAACTCTGTAAACGTAGCTTTATGAATCTTTTAGCTCTCGCGAATTCGAGCTTCGTCCAACGTGTTGTTTACGGCGTTCACGCGAACATCTGTTACAATTGACGATAAAAATATCATGATCGATCCTTCGTGCACGATATAGTCGTTTGTCAACGATCGGGACACGAGAAACGTCAACTGGCAATGTTTCAACGTCGGTCGGCGCGACACGACGAATTCTAATCGAATGGATCTTCGAATCCTATTTCGTGTAGCGGTCGACGAGCACACACGCGATCGATCGATTACTATACTGGACGTTGGGTCGGAAAATGTATTTCTCAAGATTATTAAGAAGGTGCACGAAACATCAATGTCTTTCCTTTCCCCGTCATAGGGGAATGACCAAGGAAGTGACAATAGACACGGTAAGATTTATCTTACGTTATTAAATAATTCAGAGGTTTGTTGTAACCGTCGCAAATACCAATAAACAATTTTAAGTTGGAAAGAAATTGTAATTAAACACCTCTTATTTCCCATTTGAGAATCAGTATCAAAGATAGCAAAACTATGATTGAAATATTTCCTATTTTTTTACGTACTTCGATTGAACAAAGCTCATAGATCTATCGCCTCTTTTATGATTCCCTATCGTTTAGAAGTATGAGTTGTATCGCTTGGAAAGTGGACCGTCGAAGAAAGCGACGTTAAACGAGGAGGAAGCCATTTACGCGCTGAGAACAATGAATTATATCAGACGAATGCAAAATAAGGCCGCGGAATTGTACAGATTGCGTTTGATAAACGGTTTCCTTCATTTGTATTCCGGTCAGGTAAATATTCTCTGGTTAGCCAGGATGGAGGTTGACACGAGGAAAGCGAGATGATGTTGAAACGAGAACAAAGAGTACAATGATACGACGTTTTGCAGGAGGCGGTTGCCGTAGGGATGAAGATGGCGATGAAGGACACGGACAGCCTGATCACTGCTTACAGGTGTCACGGTTTCGCGGTGGTTTTCGGCGTGTCGGCGCGGGAGGTTCTCGCGGAACTAATGGGTCGACGAACAGGTGTGTCGAAAGGCAAAGGTGGATCGATGCACATGTACGCGACGCAGTTTTACGGGGGCGAAGGTATCGTCGGCGGTCAGGTGAGAGATCTGAGAGATCTGAGATCTTTAGAGATTACAGGCTCGTGGAATGAACGTGTATCGACAGGTACCGATCGGTGCTGGATTGGGATTCGCTCACAAGTACAATGGCACTGGGGGGGTCGCGTGGGCGGTGTACGGGGACGGAGCCGCGTCCCAGGGTCAGGTCTACGAGGCGTACAACATGTCGAAACTATGGAATCTGCCGGTAGTGTACGTTTGCGAGAACAACAAATACGGAATGGGAACCGTGGTAGACAGACACTCGGCGAACACTGCCTTTTACACTCGAGGAGATCTGATTCCAGGAGTCAAGGTAAACGCTTGGTCCTGGATATAGAAAACCGTGGTACGGACAACGATGTAGCTTTAGTTAACCCTTTGCACCCCGAATTATATTTCAATTTTGCTACCAGCAGCTCCCAACGCTTTTAAGCGTTTTATTTGAAATTTACCTGTTAAAATATCTGTTTTATTTACACTGTTGTTGTATTTTGTAACTTTTAAGTGTACGATATCTCTTTAAAATTGATATCGAATCACACTCGACATAGAAGTGCAAAGGGTTAACAGCGAATCCCGTCGTTTTTCGATTTCTTTCTCAGGTGGACGGAATGAAGCTCATAGACGTTCGCGAAGCCGTCAGGTTTGCCAGAGATTATGCTCTCCGAAACGGCCCGATCATATTGGAGATGGATACGTATCGATACTTCGGGCACAGCATGAGCGATCCTGGCACCTCGTATCGTACCAGAGAAGAAATAAGCGCCGTAAGGACAGAGGCGGATCCTATCATGATGCTGGCTACTCTTCTCGTGGAGAACGGCTTGAAGACTGAAAAAGAAATTAAAGTAAGTCTCGAGAGCATTTCTCTTCGCCGTCGTTATGCCCCCTAATCGATCGTTTATCGTCCACGCGGCTAGGAGATACAAGACACCACGTGGAAAGAAGTAGACAAGGAACTGGAACAGGCCAAAGCCGATCCGTTTCCAGAAATGTCGGAGATCTCGTCGAACGTTTATGCCCACCAAGTGGGCAATGTCCGCGGCAAAGCGCCTTGGCAGACCCATTGAAAAGGGAAACGGTACCTCCCGGTGGATCGTCGATCGCTGCATCGTTTGGCGTTTCGCGCCAGATTTTTTTATTTACATTTAATTTATATAAAACGTTTACCGCGATGTATTTTTTCGAGACATAAAATATAAGTTTTGATAGTCACGGTCGTGCCTTCTTCGCGGTGAAAAATATAAGGGCTGATACAAATGTTCTATCGCTCTGTATAATTTGTAACGTTTACCGAAAAATAGTCGGCGTAAATGTACCGATTGATCGAGCATTCCGGATAATTGAAATTTTTACTCTGACAAGTAAAAGGGCCAACTCGAATCGGGCATGATTCGCGAAGAAGAAACGAACAACGGTCTGTGGAATGCGAGCGGCTGTTTGTTTCTCGGTAGTTTCTTACTCCGTCAATTGGAATGATCAATTAAAACGTCGCTTGGTGTCGCGCTGGAGGAAGATGCCACGAACGTGACAAGGAAGGGAGATTAGGGCTGGAGAGAACGGTCGTAAAGAGTGAGTCAGAGGTTCGTCGGAGCAACGAGAAAGAAGGCGAGGCGAATGATTCCGAAGGGAAACGACGGCGACGGTGACGGCGACAGTCTTTGCGGGAGTCGATCGCCTTCTGCTGCTCCCACGTGCATTGTTACTCGTTGAATCTTAACTAGACGACGTCGTAACATTTTTACGGATCGTTTCTGCCCGTTGCGTCGAAAGTCACCATGAAAAAAGTGAAGTTGTCGAACGTTAACGCGAATAAATTCGAGTGGCCGTTGAAAAACTAGAAATTACATTACATTGTATTGATAATTAAATATTGCCAAATGTGTAATACTCGAGTAGGAGAAATTAATGTAGCGCAAATTCGATAGTACGTGCTTAGTGACTACATAGTGCGCGCGATACAGCATCAAATATTTCTTTCGTGTTATGGTCGGCCGGACGTATGCTTATCTATCCATTATTTATCGCCGTATCCTGTTAATTTATAGTACGAATGATGACAGTTTGTGCCAAACGATCGTTTGTCTTGGTAATATTCTTCTTGCGTAACAAATTCGAATTCGCTTAGGCGCGATCCGATCCAAAGAACGATCGAACGTAGAACGCAACGATGGGATGCGACGGCGAGCTTACTGGGATACTTCGGGGTAAGTGTACTCAATTTCTTATTTTCTTCAATCGCGCTACGTGTTTTGATACCTAACGAAGAAATAAAATATTGAGATTATAAAACAATAATAAAAACTGAAACCTCCTGATCAACCATGAGCTCATTTCCTATTTTTAAATCGACCACGCTGATTTTCAAACCGTGTTTAATGTAAAATAAAGCTCGAGAGAGAAGACAATAAACGAAGCGTTCGTAAAAGTTATGCGTTTTATAGACGTGGTGCAGTTTCTGGAATGCCTGAGGGAGGTGAAGCTTCCAGTCAGCTTGGAGAGTATCCGAGATAGCTTGCTGATACGATCGAAGGATACTTTGACGATGTTTATGGTGAAAAGAATCGAAAGATCGACCTCCCCGGAGGCGTATTTGAACATGAACGCGGCTGGATCGAAAGGTTTGGTGATCGCGTCGAAAACGGAAGCCGAGGGCCAAGAATACGTGGAGGCGGAGGAACACCCACCGCAGAAACAATCGCAGTGCGAATATTACGAGAGCTTTGACACGGTCGAGCCGACGAATAACGTCGACGGTGATGATCTCAAGAGCAAAGACAAGGAGACTGCGGAGAGCACGTTGATGGACGCTTACGCGAACTTCTCGACGGCTCAAACCAAAAGCAAGTGCCTGAAGTACGGTCCCCTTTACAGAAAGGAAGGAAAGAAGCTGTTCGTTTTCGAACAGTATCGGGAATATTGGGTCGGTAAGTGGGAATTCGAGGGGTCACGGCGAACCGTGACCGCACGGGACAAGCAAATAATTTCCACGCGAACGTCGCAGGTTTGGTCGGATTGCACTTGTTGATCTACGGAAGCGATCACGATAATCGTCCGTGCATGATCCTGCCGATTCGCGGCTACACGGCTCGAGCTGCACCGAACGCGATCCCCCGTGATCAACGAAGAAGCGAGTCCACGTTCGAAATCATTTGCCCGGGTAGTAAAACATTTCAGGTAAACGAGCTTATACTTATTCGCTGCGCAATAGTAATAGTACGATTTTAGAATATGATTATAAAGAAAACTATTGCATTTACAGTAAGGTGTACGAACACGTTATAAACAATAGTAATAGTACGATTTTAGAATATGATTATAAACAAAACTATTGCATTTACAGTAAGGTGTACGAACACGTTATACGCAATAGTAATAGTACGATTTTAGAATATGATTATAAAGAAAACTATTGCATTTACAGTAAAGTATACGAACATGTTATAAACAATAGTAATAGTACGATTTTAGAATATGATTATAAAGAAAACTATTGCATTTACAGTAAGGTGTACGAACACGTTATACGCAATGGTAATACTACGGACTTTAGAATATGATTATAAAGAAAACTATTGCATTTACAGTAAGGTGTACGAACATGTTATACGCAATAGTAATACTACGACTTTAGAATATGATTATAAAGAAAACTATTGCATTTACAGTAAGATGTACGAACACGTTATACGCAATGGTAATACTACGGACTTTAGAATATGATTATAAAGAAAACTATTGCATTTACAGTAAGGTGTACGAACATGTTATACGCAATAGTAATACTACGACTTTAGAATATGATTATAAAGAAAACTATTGCATTTACAGTAAGATGTACGAACACGTTATATGCAATAGTAATACTGCGACTTTAGAATATGATTATAAAGAAAACTATTGCATTTACAGTAAGGTGTACGAACACGTTATACGCAATGGTAATACTACGACTTTAGAATATGATTATAAAGAAAACTATTGCATTTACAGTAAGGTGTAAATGCAACACTTATAAATAACACTTATTTAACATTATCGAGTCTCGAAACATCAACCAGCATCTAATGGTTATTAATTATGATCGTGGGGGTGTTTCAGTTCGTCGCGAGGACACCGAAGGACATGGAGCAATGGGTGGCGCAAATTTCTGAATTGGGCAGTGAAGAGAGACACGAAACCAAAGAGCATACGAAACTCTTGACCACGAGCCCGTCCGAGAAAAACGATACCTCGCAGTCGGACGAAAAATTGCTTCAGAAAGATTCGAGTTTTAAAGAAGAAAGATATCAAGACGTGGAATCGTTGGGCATAGATAAACCGATGCCCGACGAGTCGTCGATAGTTCCTAGTATTGCCATAGACAAAGAAACAGTAAATCCGTCCCCTTCTTCGAAGGACACGCTTTCGGAAACTACGAAATCTCCTATTCCTATTGTTCCTGCTTCTATTCCAGCTCCTCCGTTGCCCGCTCGGATTCCTCGAAGATTACCATCCCTACCCGTGCACGGTTCGTCGTCTTCGTACGAACTTTCCGACGAGGAAGAAGATATCTATCACAAGATCGACGACTTCAAAGATATAACGCACTGCTACGAGAACGCTAATAAAGTTTGCAAAGCTAGAGTCGGCGATAAACAATCGAAAAAATCCACGTCGTACGACGACGTTTGCGCGAACGTGAAAGAGAAAAATAAGTCTGGGAAAAAATCAAAGAAGAATCGCGAATCCCCTGCGAAACAATCGATTGCCTCGCAAAACGAGGAGACGTACGACGATGCCGCGTCCGCGATTACCGTGTCAAAAGATCGCCTTGAGAAAAAAGAGAAATTTCAATCCTACGATGATGTCGAGGTAGGTGACAACTATATTAGGTCATTGTTCTTTAGTACATTCACAAAACACGAGCGTTAACCTATTCAGCATCATATTAGGTGTACAAATGAATAATCCAAATTATCTTGAGCAGTTATAAAATCAAGTTTAAAGTCAATAGATCTTCCCGCTCTTTTGCGGTCATATAGTGTTGACATATAGCTAGTTAATACAAAAGATAGTTTAGCGAAAGGCCTAACAAAACCTTCAATACTATTCAATTCGGTACGTTCGTATACTGGCGAAGAAGAACATTCATTTACTTTCTTTTAAAATGAACATTGAATGTGGCTGAAAAAATTGGGTTGTTCGTTTGTACAGCTGATACACCTTTTCCTGAAATTTGAAAATGTTAAACGGTAATTTTAGATATTGACGGTCGCTGTATGTTTCTATGCACAGAGTACACTTTCGAACGACACGTCGGGTAAAGCCCGAACGCCGGAGAAGACGGAAGAGCCGACCAAGTCACCCCAAAAGAAATCGTTCCTAGACAGAGTGAGAAGCAGAAAGGAATCTCCGCGGAAAAGCGAGAAGAAACAGAAACGTAGAACTCCGACGCCGCCGCCAACAAACGTTCAGGAACTGCCGACTTACGACGACGTATCTAATTTGATAAACGGTCAGGAGGCTAAACAAAATGTCGAGGAAGAAGAATCGGAGTATAAATGCCCGCCACCGCCTAGACCGGTCTACGCGCAGCCGCCGGTGATCGCCGATGCAGTCGACGAACAAGAACTTTACGACGACGTCGCAGAGTGCCGCAAAGCCTATAAAACTGAAGATACGTGTCAATCGGATAGGGTAAAAAAAACGTTTAAATCAATGTTTGATTGTACTGTTGATTCCTACCAACCGAATCTAAAAAATCTCTTAACGCGTTTAAATAAATTTTCAGCGAGCTTCAAGGCAATTAAATTACGTCCACGGTTCTACGTGTACGGAGATCAACGACTCCGTATCGTCTGATAATATAGAAGACAACGACGAACACTATCAAATACCACGTAGCAGCGAGTCGAACAAATACCCTCCCGTCGATCAACAAGAAGAACTATACGACGATATCGCTATACTAGCAGACTTTACAGCACGACAAAAGGAATTGCTCTGTAAAAAAGACAGCGAGGACGTAACAAAGACACAATCTAGTTTCGAGAAAAGGTCGTGGAATCGATTTGTCAATGGGAAAAAATATAAAATAACAGAGTCCGTGACTTCCGAGAGAAATTCTCGAATTTCAAGCGGTGCCGAAGACGCGGACGACCTTGCCGAGCAACACGGTTTAACGCGGATAAACACCTTCCAAAAATTAATTAACAAAATGGAGAATTCCCTTGGCAAAGCTTCCGTCAAGACAACGTCATCGATGCTGTTGAATAAAACAAACGTGGCCAACAATACGTAATATCGAAGGGAGCAGAAAACGTTATACGTTATAAGAAATATCATTGAAGATTGATTCCTTTATCGATAAGATAAATATGTAAGGAAGGCATCCTTAGTCTGTTTGAATGTGGCGCGTGAGTAGTATGTCGCGATCTCCATACGTGTCGCTAGAGTGACGAGTCGAGGGAGATGTGCCACGAGGGTAAATGCGACATTTATTTGAAAGAGTGATTAGTGTACAAGAAGGGTGTGAATAAGAACATTGAATCTTGTTTTTTAATGTATTATTTATCGGTAGGTTGGTGGTGTAAAATAAGTAGAAGTGTTTCTCTGTAAAAACAAAGAGTTTTATTAAATTCAACGCAATGCAATATGACTACTTAATGAATTGATAGTCAATTCTACCGGTAAAAACAAAGAAACAACATTCGATGTTCTTATTCACACCCTTCTTGTACACTAATCACTCTTTCAAATAAATGTCGCATTTACCCTCGTGGCACATCTCCCTCGATTCGTCACTCTAGCGCCACGTATGGAGATCGCGACATACTACTCACGCGCCACATTCAAACAGACCAAGGATGCCTTCCTTACAAATGTATACAAACCAAAGATAGTAGATTAGTTATTTCGATATAAAAATTTATATTGCACGAAAATGCTTACTGGTCTGTAATCGTAATTTTTGCAAAATAAATAACGTAAATTGATTCACCCACGCGCTACACCAGGGGGTGGCGAGCACCTCTTCCGTCAAGAGCCACTGGAGTCCCACATCCAGTCAACCGATTTTCCTACTAGCTTGGCAAGCCTGCGTCCTAGGTCCCAGCTCTGCACAGTAGGCGTAGCTCTTCTGCGCTTGAGCGGAACAGGAAGGTAAGGGAAGGAACCATAACTGGCTCGCGAGACGCCACCTGCATTCACCATACACAGCTCTGTTCATTAAATTTAAAAATCTGTTAGACTTCCAACATCGACAAATTTTATTTTTTAATGAGAATTACATGGTACGAAACGATTGCGTTAAGTTTGATCGTGACGTCGGTATTAACGAACCCGAGAACTTTTTAAGTTTTTATATACTTATAACTATTCGCTGGCCGGGACGCCCGCATCCTTTTTAAAATTCTTTTCGTACGTGTAATATAAATCGTCGTAAATGCTTCTGGTCCACGTAGTTCCAATCCGTAGGGAGGATTGGAGCGTATCGATACTCTGCTCCTGAAATGCTTTCAAAGGTATACCTGTGTTCTGTTCTACGTAATTTACGAAGAATCCAAACTGTTCGGAATACATTGGAGAAATGACAATTAATAGCGTGAATGCTAAGGTGAGAAGAAACAGCCATAGAATCGCAGACAGGAAGGACCGACATGCGTTGCCTGAAACATATTACAATTCCATTTACAATTAACGGGACGAGAATGTGATAGAATGCTCATCGAACATAATCCATTTGTATCGTATTACCTTTCGACGCGCGTTCCTTGTTCGTGTACTTTTGTTTCTGCACCGACGTCGAAGTATCCACTTCGTTTTTATCGAGTCGTAGTTCCTCGCTCAAGGAGCAAGATCCATTTTTATCTGCATTTTGTTTGTTATCCTTTTCGACTTGTTTTTTCTTTTTCTTTTTTCCGCTCTTTTTCGGCAATGCTGTATCCGTTTCCGCTTCCGCTAAAAACAAAAATGTTAGTCACGCACAAAGCGCAATATGTGTTTAAATATTCGTGTTTCACATTTCTAGTATTACTTTTAGCAGCATTTAATCTTCGTAATTTTTCTTCTTCTATAGTAAGCTTGACGCGCGATAAATACGAAACGACGTTACGAGCGCAAGCTTGACATTCGCTTAAATTACTGCAAGGACCGGCAACACTGGCCACAGCAGAAGTTAAAGGATTCTCCTTTAAATCTAACCATCTTAAGTTCTTTAATTCGCTCAAACTGAGTGGTAATCTGCTTATCTGTAATATAATTTTATTCGTTACTACTTTGAAAGATTTGCATTTAATGCTACATATAGTAAATTAATTTTGCTTTACCTGATTTTCATAGAGATCCAAATACCTCAACTGCCTCAATTCCCCAAAATTTTCAGGAATTTCTGTTAACATATTTCTACTAAGATCTAGCTTAACTATCTGCTTAAGATTGACAAAAGTAATCTGAAACAAATAATCATTGATCAAGAGACATTGTTGTTAATCTATAAACAAAGAACGAAAAAACTCACAGGCAAAGAAACTAACAGATTATTCGATAAATCCAAATGTGCTGCCTTTTTAACAACTGCCTAAAAAAATGAGAGGAGCATAATGATTACTTGTTGCATCGCCAATATTTGTTATCATACAAGTCAGGTTAAATAAAACAATTTATATATTGAACATTCAAGAGATTTAACGTACGATTTCTCGAACAGGCACTTCTTTCAGGTCGCATAAGCTAAGATCCAGCGTTTCATCTTTCAGTCTGTCCTTAATATTCTTCAAATTCAATTTCATTTTGACGATGAAGAAGTATTACACTAAATAGAAACTGTGAATTCTCGCGTTGTTCGTGGATTTTTGTGGCAACACCTTTTGGTGGAAAGCATAATATTACTGTACAATCGAATAAAAGTAATACTAGCTGACGGAACGATTAGATATTTCTTGATCTCGACGCATCGGAACGATACAAAGTTTCATCCGCCAACAGAATGAAAACGTTTAACGGAAGTTAAATGCATGTGGCACATGGAGACCGATGAAAACTAATACTAAACTGACACGTCAGTGACGACATTCACGCCTTCTGTTGCTAAACGTCCATATTTGACGTCAAATAGTTCGCTTTTTGCGCCGCTAGATGGCGCTGATTTTCGACCTTGTGGGATTATGGTGACTTGATGCGCGTGCGTTCGTAGGCCCACCCCTACGACCACGGATATTAATATTTGAAATGACTGAACACGTGTATATAACAACAACAACAATAACAAGTATTCTTTATTCACGCTAGGCGTACAAGTCCTCGTTTAGCAGGAGTTTTTACTCTGGATCTTTTTGAGGTGCTTCTTCGCGCAGTTCTTACCAAGCAGTGGTTTGGCGTCCTTGCATTTTGGGGAGGACGCGCTTTCGCCCTGCTGCGCTGCGCGCGCAGCCTTACGGCGGATTCGCACTTGACGGGAAACTGCTCCCCTCTACTCTTGTGCGGACGAGACCATAAGTCTCGACCCCACAACCTGAAACCCTCTGGTGTTAAAACGCCCAAGTTTGTCGTGGAATAGTTCGTTATCCTCAACGCTAGATGGCGCTTATTACCGACCTCAGGCCCCCTGGTGCTAAAACGCCCAAGTTTGTCGACTTAATCAGCGCCATCTAACATGGAAGACACGAACTATTCCTCGACAAACTTGGGCGTTCTAGCAACAGATGGCGCAAGTGTCGGTTAGAAGCGCCATCTAGCGTTGATATTAGGAACTATTCCACGAGAAACTTGGGCGTTTTAGCACCAGGGGGCCCCAGGTCGGTAAATAAGCGCCATCTAGCGTTGATATTAGGAACTATTCCACGACAAACTTGGGCGTTTTAGCACCAGGGGGCCCCAGGTCGGTAAATAAGCGCCATCTAGCGTTGATATTAGGAACTATTCCACGACAAACTTGGGCGTTTTAGCACCAGGGGGCCTGAGGTCGAAAATAGCGCCATCTAGCGTCGCAGCTGCGAACTATTTGACGTCAAATATGGCCGTTCCGGTAGCAAATGACGGTGCAGTCGTTTACAAATCGGCGCCTTATTTATTGTAAAAATAACTTTTGAATTAAGTTTGACAAATCGGTCGACGTATATAATTACTAGTTAATGTGTATAAGAAGAACGAGAGAAGCAAACTGTCTGCAAAGTATTGTTTTCACCGTTTCTTTTGGTGACTCCTCAATGGGGACTGTCAGTCACGTGCTATAAAACATAGGTTGAAAGAATTTATGAAATGTCCAGTGAACATATTGTATAGCTGTAATTAATTAATAAAATAAAGACTGGCCATTATATAAAGTTATAAAGTGTAAATAAATAATTATAAAGTGTCCTGGGTGCCATTTTCTGGGATCGCCACATCGACGTAACAAGTGGTGCTACCTGGAAAATATGGAATGATCGGAGATTAGAAAGAAGTAGAAACATGGATGTGGATACAGCAAGCGATAATACATCTATAGATGACAAGATAGACGATTTTTGCGAAAACCCGACGAGAGATGCCTTGACGGAAGGTCTTATGAGCCTTCTGAAACCCGCGGTGGATCGATTAGACGAAGGAATTCGTGCCACTAGGTAAGTGAAATGTTGTTTGTTTATGTATAGAATAAAACAAATTTCTACCGTATTTAAATTCTATACTTTTTATGAATATTACGTCATTGTTTGCGTAGGATATGTCAAATAGAAACGAAACAACGGATCGAATCTTTGATAGAAGAGTTGCAAAGAAGCAACGAGGTATTGCAGTGCCCGTTGGAGACCGATTCTTACGTGAAAAAATTGATCAATGCCAAACACAAGATCACCATCGTCAGTAATATCTTACAAACCATGCAGGAGCGATTGAACACGATCTATCAAGCAGTAGAAAAGAACACGGCGAAGAGGAAGGCATTATTGGATTACAGTTCTGTGTCCGGCAGCTCTACAAATATTCCAGAGAAAGGTGAACAATCAGAGACAGAGAAAGACACTGTGCCGCCTAAAGAACAAGAATAAGCGAGGGTCGCAGCGTGTGTAAGATACTTGTAACATATTTCCTTAGTCGTATCAGTCTAGAGATACCTAGCGGAGAAATTTTTGTACAAAAATTCTTTGGTATTTCCTGCTAATACGTCATGGATACTCCGGTAATTAATTTATCGGCCAGAGATTTGGAAAAAGTTTATGAACCTTCGGAGGATTCCTTCCTTTTAATAGATGCCTTAGAAGCCGATTTGAAGGTTTTGAAAGCTGCAAAACCTGTGATGTGTTTAGAGATAGGTAGCGGATCCGGTGTTGTAATCGCTGCTCTGGCGATGGCATTGAGCGATCACTGTCAATCTTATCATCTTGCGATCGACATCGATCGCGATGCATGTAAAGTCACGCGGGGAACTGCTATGCTCAATTCGGTAGACGTAGATGTTGTACAGATGGATTTATTGGGTTGTATACGTAATAATTGTGTTTTCGATATAGTGGTATTTAATCCACCGTACGTAGTGACGAGCGACGAAGAAATACTAGATGCAAAGTTTTTGTTCAAGACCTGGGCGGGTGGTACAAATGGTAGAAAGGTTATGGAGCGCGTGTTCTCGAGGATTCCCACTATTCTATCGGACACGGGAACATTTTATCTACTGGTCATTAAAGAGAACGATCCAGAATATATTCTGCGTATTTTTAAGGATTTAAACATGGTAGGCGAGATAGTAATGGAAAGGAAAATTCGAGGAGAGCATTTGTACATTTTACGTTTTAAAAAGATTAAGTAACCATAATATGTATATATATATATATATATATATATATGTAACGAGTATATATTTTTCCTTATCAAAAATACTGAAATTTCAATGGCAGACAAGTACTTATTTAGTGTTTTTGTCGATGTTGTTTAAATAGTCTGTGTTCGATAATTACATTGGTAAGAAAAAGTTTAAAACTCGATATACGTGGAACATAGCCCTAACATTTAATGCTTGATCCTGTAAAAAAGATATTTATGCGACCGGCGTGCGTACAAGCGTTAGAATATCACTTGATGCGTTTATGTTGCGATCTGTTAACAGGAGAAATTAAAAGAGACGATTATGTGTATAAAGTAAAGAAATTATTTCTTGTTACATTTAATTTGTATGTACTTTTACTAGTCACGCTACAATACCATCTCGTATTCTTTCACTCGTGTGGCAGAACTCCTAACAATTTAATCTACTTCTCTTTATGAAATAATGCAGTAGAAAATATATTTTTTATGTTTTCGTCGTTCCACTACTAATCGTATTTACAATGACGTTCTATTTCCTACGAAAGTCACCACCGAACCGTATAGGTTATCATAAAGTCGCGTACAAACGATAGCAACACGTAACGTTTTAAGAAACACCATAATTTATTTATTATCAACCTAAAGGAAACGTCTAAATTCTATCTATCGTTACATCAAGTTCGAAAAATTCGAATTTCGTCGTATTCGGTACGCAATTACGTGAAAAGCAACTTTTCTCACAGTTGCCAATCACGTCGATTCGATATATCGTAGGTCGATATGTGATATATGGCTGTACAGTCGAGTAACTATTATCATACTTGCGATCCAAGTTATGCAAACGTGCAAGAAATGTGTCGCGAGGGTAGCAAATAACGCTGATCGACTCGTTAATATTTTCAACGATGTAAATAATCAAAAACCACCTATAGACAATTAAATATTTAACAAATAGAGTACACTGACGTTCGACAAAAATTTTAGGGTGGTTTGCGCAGCCAGTTATTATCTTGGCAATTAAGTAACCTTTCATCAGGCTTGTACGATCAGTTTCCTACAGTTATCGATTTGTAAATATAAAGTTTTGAGCCAGGTTATTATTTAACACGCTCTCGAAAATATTATATCCCATTTCGTCGACTTTAATTAAGGAATAGTAACTGTAAAGATGGTCGATTGCCACCCTGGCGTTCGTTGGTTGCAAGCTCGATCGAGAACGGGAACGAAATCAATTTTCTACGAGTTCAAACACTTTGATCTGTAAACTCGTTGCAATTTAAGGTAAAGCACGACGGCGGTGATCGTCGTCAGGACGACTGTGCTCAACATTAACGAGCTGGCCGTGTAAAAACCGGCGTTAGTCATGCAAATGTCTGTTGTGGTTCTTAGAACCTCCTCGGTGGTAGTTTGCGCAAGGTGCTCCAATATTTGGTTGCTGGCTTCGCTTAAATCGTCTTCCATGATCACCCTGAAGCCACGCGCCACGCGTATCGGGTCCGACAGCAGCACCGCTGAAGTATTCGATGGCGTGTAATTTATCGAACGACGCCGTCTACCCGGTTCAATTTGCTAAAAAAATGTGTTCTTTTTAAACAGCGATTCTGCAAATTCTTACAAAGTATATAATTACGGCGAGCGCGCCAATTCTTTTAATCTCAACTATTGTCAGTATCATTACGATCGATGCTCTCCGAACCCATTCTCTGATTTTTCAACAATTTTACAGTTTTTACGCGACATTACGTTTCGTTCAGTGTTTTAAATTTATCTTTTCTACTATTTCCATTCTGCTCAACGAAAGCATCTAAACAAGAATTACGGAAAGTACAAATTATCAATGAATAAAATGTCTTTGATCTCTTGTTTCCTCCGAATACACTCAACGTCTTCGATACGACAGGTAATTATACTTAAAAATTAAAAAGGAAGCGTTTACCTGGTTCGATTTGCTAAAAAAATGTTTTCTTTTTAAACAGCGTTTCTGCAAATTCTTACAAAGTATAATTACGGCGCACCAATTCTTTTAATCTCAACTATTGTCAGTGTCATTACGATCGATGCTCTCCGAACCCATTCTCTGATTTTTCAACAATTTTACAGTTTTTACGCGACATTACGTTTCGTTCAGTGTTTTAAATTTATCTTTTCTACTATTTCCATTCTGCTCAACGAAAGCATCTAAACAAGAATTACGGAAAGTACAAATTATCAATGAATAAAATGTCTTTGATCTCTTGTTTCCTCCGAATACACTCAACGTCTTCGATACGACAGGTAATTATACTTAAAAATTAAAAAGGAAGCGTTTACCTGGTTCGATTTGCTAAAAAAAATGTGTTCTTTTTAAACAGCGTTTCTGCAAATTCTTACAAAGTATATAATTACGGCGAGCGCGCCAATTCTTTTAATCTCAACTATTGTCAGTATCATTACGATCGATGCTCTCCGAACCCATTCTCTGATTTTTCAACAATTTTACAGTTTTTACGCGACATTACGTTTCGTTCAGTGTTTTAAATTTATCTTTTCTACTATTTCGATTCTGCTCAACGAAAGCATCTAAACAAGAATTACGGAAAGTACAAATTATCAATGAATAAAATGTCTTTGATCTCTTGTTTCCTCCGAATACACTCAACGTCTTCGATACGACAGGTAATTATACTTAAGGGGTCTGGTTACTCTAGAATATTGAAAAATTCGATTTTTTTTTTTTTGGCTTAAATAATAGTTTCAAGCCTTAAAAACATTATGCGAAAGGTTTCAGTGTCGGAACAATGTTTTTGCTGAAAATTTAGAGCCCGAAACGATGACGTGTATCTGCGTCCTGTAGCGCGTTAAATGCATTTTCCTCGGAACTATGTTTTACAAAACGATGTGCAGCATTACTCCAGTTCTAATTAATCAATTGCTTTGAAAATTGCTTTGAAAAGTTTTTTTCAAAATTGTCAAATAATTCTGCAAAATATTCGTAATAAGAACTCGTTTTTGTGTTAAAATTCGATTTTAAGTTTCAAATATTTGCCACATTGTTCATTTTTATATAAATTGAAATGTCTCATCGTCAATGCCTAGGACATTTATCATAGTTAATGGAATATTTCGGTTTTTCTTGTACATAACAACCATTTTACCACAATCCTGCACACCAGCTGGGCATCAAAACAAGAAGTGGCTCGTGAACATGGCGCTGCGTAGGCTTAATTACAAAAATTTTTTAAACATTGCCAAGGGTTTTTTTCAACATTTGTTATACCTAAATACAGTGCAAAGTTTCAGGATAATTGAATGCTTACTTTATCTTCAGTGTTGCTTAAAAAAATGCCTCGTTTTCCATACCGCTAGAGGTACCAGACCCCTTAAAAATTAAAAAGGAAGCGTTTACCTGGTTCGATTCTGGACACGGTTCGCAGTCAGTTTTGCACAACTCGACGTTGCACTCGATGAACAGATCCATCACGTCGGGGAACTTGAAAGCTTGGAAGAACGCGTAGGCGATAATCGAAGCTCCCGTGTTTCCGGTGTCGTTTGTTTTCTGGAACGCTCCGAACAGTTTCGGTTTCAATATGCAACCCCTTTCGTCCGTCAGTTGTATCGTGTTGGCGGATGACTCGTCGCGAGCCACGCAATCGCGTACCTTTAAGATTCGTTGCATAATTAGTAACCGATAAATCAACGTTTCATACGCGCGGACATACCTGAAGATCGAAAGCGGGATCTCCTTCGACGGTGACGACCAGAGTCATAGTTTCACCGATTTTCACCAGGCCATCGGCCGTGGGCGCGAACGGACCCCTTCCAACCTGGATGTCCAGCTTGGCGACCGCGGTGTCGCCGCTGAAAGTGACTATCTCTTGCGTCAGCATGTCCACGGAGAAGTTCACCGACAACGCTTTGTTGATGTTCCCCTCCCAGAGGCAACGGACCCTTCTCACCGTGTCCCAGACTTCTTGAATGCCTGGTTCGTTCTACACAAAAAAAAAATCCATTACGCAAACGCGTCGAGTCGTTTGATCGTTTATAGGCAATTACCTGCAACACCAGTACGTTCTCCAGGTACGCCTGGCCAGCCTCGCCGGCGAAATCGTTAATGAACTGGGTACCGCAGGAATCCAGGCTCACCGTGAACGAGTATTTCGTCTGCCCGGAGTTTTGTTCCACGTATCTGCATTCCGGAGTCATGAAATATCCCTGTAAACGCATCGATCGATTATTGCCGTTTCGACATAATCCCCGCCACATTCCTCGCGCTCGTTTACCTTGGAGTAAATGACCCCGTCGAAAGCGCGGTTGAACTCGATGTTGATGGTCATCATGGTTTTGCTGCACTCGACGTCCAGGGAATGAATGTGCGGAGGGTGTTTCGAGTCGTCGTCGTCCTCGGCTGGGCCCGTCCCCGTGGTCGTTCCGGTCCCGCTGCTGCCTACAGTAAATGAATACCAAAGTAAGCACCGAGAATGCCGAGACGCGACCATTTTTCACGTACCTTCGCCGGACGTAGGTTTCACGGTGACGGGACCACCGGATCCACCACCGGTCTCTTGAGGCGGAAACGCCCCACCGGGAGTCGAAGACGGATATCCCGGTGACGAAGGATAGCCAGCCGCGGCGCCCTGGTCGTAAGAATTCACCCCAGGCGCGGGGGTCGGGAACGAAGGGCGAGGACTCTCCGTCGGGTATCCGTAAGTGGTGAATCCACTGGGAGCCGGATAACCGGTGCTGGCGCTTCCGTCCGCGGACGGAGCATAAGATGGCCTTTGAGTCGAGTATCCGTAGGTGCTGGAGAATCCGCTGGGGCTGGACGAGTATCCACCGGTGTTCGCGTTTCCATACGTCGAGGTTGAGTAACCGTAGCTGGTGGACACTCCGCCCGGCTGAGGATTCTGAGGGGTGTTCGAGGAAGGTGGTCGGGGGCTGGTCACCGAGGGTGGCAAATAGGTCGTCGAGCTCCTGGTGGAGCCGAACGGCGGGAAGGCAGAGGAACCGGCGTTCGAGTAGGACGGCGAGGACGCTGGCCGGGGATTGTACGAGGTGGACGAAGGTCCGTAAGGCGACTGACTGTTTGGCGGAAGATACGTCGGCCTTTGTGTGGAGAAGGGTGGATTTTGAACGGTGGCTGGCTGACCGGACGGGTAGCCAGCGTTCGGCGAAGGGAAACCAGTCTGCGGCCTCTGGTAATTGGTCACCTCGTTTTGCGTGGGCGACGAGTAGCCCGGTTGTTGGCCGGTCGAGGGTGGCTGGAAAGGTCTGGGTCTCTCTGGCGGCCTTTGCGTGCTGTACGGTGGCAGGTATCCTGGAGGATCCGACTGCTGACGGGCTGCAAGAACAGATTCGGTTCCCAGGTAACGATTCACCGTTTTGATAATGTACCACGTTGCACAGAGTGTAACTCGACCGAGATTAAACTTTTACGCGTCGATTAGAAGTGTTGCTAACTAGAAGAGGATGTAGACGAGTGTAGGAACCACCGTTAAGGTTTAGATTAGCGTTGCCTTGTGGATTATCTACCGATAGAGTGAGGTTGCTGGCAAGCGTGCAATGGCGTGTAACCATACGAAACTACGGTTAATTGCATTATGACCGTTACTGGTCGAAACAGTTTTGTTATTCGTGGGAGTATCCATGGGCCACTGACTCGTCTGCAAATCAGGGTGCTGTCCTCCGATCGCCTCGTAAGGGAGCTTTAACCTCTTCAGGGTCTGTTCCTATCGCAATGTAATATTAAACGCGTTGAGCTACCGTAGAATATCACGTAGCCGTTCGGACGATCGCGTTACCAGATTTAATTTGCGATAAATGGATCCTGAAGAGGTCGAACGAGAGTTACCAAAGGTAAAAAAAACTATAGCGGCGAGCATGTTGCTTAGGGAAATTCCTTGTTTAAAGGGTAACTCGATAGGAGAGATGGCCCTCTTGGAGAACGTACTTTTACGTGCGCCCTGACGGTAGATCCCCTGAATCCACTCTAGGATATTTTGCGCCATCACGTCTGCGGGCGACGTTGGAGCAGCTCGCTGGACTCTCGAGTGCGCTAATGGATTTTAAACGATTGCTTTGATCAAACTCACTTCTCGTTAACGTACGTTATCGCTCTCTTTTCTCCCGATCAATCATGGCCGGGATAGACTCGAGGAGTCGTTCCATGACGTTCTTACCGTCTGCAGGCGACGTTCTGACGAACAGGGCATGACCTCCTCCGTACTCTTGGCCCACGGCTGCGCCCACCGCAGCTACCACCAGGAACGTCAGGGTCCTCTTCATCCTCTACCTGCAATTTCATTTCGTTCACATCTTCCCCCGTAACACCCAATCCCTATACTCAACGCGTTAATAATCGTAATTACGTCACGAAGCGAGAGCAACTCTTCCATGATTAGATCACCGTTTATCTTTATCGAATACAACCAAATTACGCGTCTAGGAGATTAGGTGTCATGGACACCGGTTGCCGGGAGGATTTAAACCAAGTTTTCGAGCTCGTCGCGATCCTTCGACCTCCTTCGATCCTCGAAAGTAGAAAGCGATCGTCATTATAAAACGCGATCGGAGCTCCTGACACTCGACGATGAGTTATAGCAGGGAATATCTTCGACTGGACGATTTTTCCGTCGACTCTCCGCATCCGCGTTCGGACGATCTTCATTTCTCTTCGAGGAGGCGTCCCCCGAAAAGTCGACGACACGATGTTAATTAGCCGCGAATCGAGCCGGCTCCGTGTTTCGACTGCGATCCCGAATTACAAGAGGAATCGGAGAGACCAGACTCTTAATCTGATCTGACGAAACGTTCTGATGCACGTGAGAATAACGAAACAATGCTGGAAACGGCCTTTCCCGCGACCAGAAAACTGTTTGGCGACTGTGCTTCGCCGACTCCGTTAAGCTTTATGTCGAAATTCTGACGAAACGCGAGTTCCGCCTCTTGACGCTTTAACCCTCGTACGGGGATAATTTGATAGTTAGTTCGAGTTAATATCCCTGTCGATTATCGACAAATGTTTCGGGATTCCTCGAGTATTCCGCAAAACGGTAAAATTACGCAGGCGTGACGATGGCTGCCTCTTAATTAGTCTCTCGCGTTGAAAGTGAGCTATCTATTGTTTTTGCATACGAGGGCGGATTGTTCGCAGCCTTGGGCGTGCGAGAGATTCAAGGTATCCTTTTTTTCGACTGTTCAAAGCCGCATTAACCTATGCACTATGTTTCGATTCAGCAGGGAACGTCGATAGACAACGAGAAACTAATTTAGTTCGACTTTCAAAGCATCCAGAAAGATCGATAAATAGAAAAGCGTAGGTACAGCCATATTTCCTCCCCGCGAAAAGTCAATTTCCCCGTTCGCCTTTGTGCTTATTCCGCAAGAGGGAATTTACCGGGCCAGGTAAAGCAAGTAAATTCGTTGGCGTGCTAGTTGTTTGCGCCGGGCGCGAAAAGTTAAGACGCACCGGGCCGCGAACTCTAACTTTGTTTTACGATTCCACGGTTACGCGCGTGAACCGTTTTAAAAGTCGGCTCGTAAATCCGACGTCGCGATCGTCGGCGATAAAGTACAAAAGGCGTTAATAGTTTCCGTTTTCTTTCGCGCGCTCGATCGATCACGCGGGAAACACGGTTCCCCGACGCCTCGCGAGCAACATGGCGGCTGACGCTTCGACTCCGACGTTCGTTTCGAAAATTTCATTAATCTCGTGTCGCGTGGACAGGCGTTTAGAACGATCCCAGTCCTCGTAGATCGAAAACCGTTCGAACTTGTAAGTATTCACGGACTCGACGCGCGGTTTTCTCCGTTGGGTAAATTGTCCGGGTAGAAAGTAACGCGGCAAACGTTTCGGAAGGAGAAGAGGAGTCAGCGTTCGTCTTCGCCGGGGAAACTCGTAGCACTGTCGCTTTCGACCAAGGTGAACTTACGAGCAGAGAATATATCCCGGCTAGATCTCCGGATATGCTTTCCATCGGTTCGATCCGGTGTTATCGGCGGCGGTGGTTCGCCGGTGAAACCGAATCGTGACGGGGGGGCTATGGTAAACGTGATTCGTACCCGGGTCGCCTCTTCTTCTTCGTCTTCTCCCAACGCGCGTCCCCCGGGCAAAAGTTCGAGAAGTCAACCGAGGAATCGTGCTCGTCCGAGGTGAAAGGTGAAAGTCGCTGCGATACACGTCGCATTATTCGCCTACTCGGCTCGCAGGATCGGATCTACGCCGGATTCGATCGGAAATCACGTGACACGGCCGTTGCATTCCAAACTGCTACGCTTCCGATTACTCGAAATACGGTAATTCCAGTTCGATTAATCGCGTGAGAGCATACAAGGTCAGGCATGGTGGAAGAAAGGACTACGTCGATGTATTCACCTTGACATAGTTCGAACGGACGAATGATCGACAACTTCCGGACCGGAAGCGGGGAGGCCTGGGACCGTGAAAACGGACGACTTCGAGCCAAGACCTTCCGATTAATATCTATCTAAAGCTTTTGCTTCTCGTTATTATCAAGGGTTTAACGTATAAAAGTTCATTAATTTCGCTGTGATATCGAGCTTATTCGTTCCCCATCCTCCGGCGCAATTTTTTATTCATCCTGAATAAACTGTGAATCCAAATACGCCGCTCTGCTGGTAAATCCCGTGCAGGAAACGTTCGCGTTTGTTTTCCTCTTGCCGCGCAAACAAATTTTAACGGTTTAAAAGAGGATATTTGCAGCACGGGGGGTGAGGTGGGGAGATAAATTGCACCGTTGTGCCCCTCCTGGACGCGCCATTGGGTTTCCGAGTGGTCATAGGCGTACGCGTCCAGTCACCTGCGTGTTGTACGCGTGGAAGGTGTTCCTCGTTGGCGCGTCGGATTCATTAAAATACAAAGCACGTGGGGGAAAAAAACATGGAATGGGGTCGACCGACTTGTACGAATCAGATTCCAATTTAATTAGGATCGCGCAAGTTCGTTAAACGATGTGTCCGGGTATAGAAACGAAATTGTGGGAGTCGAATCGCCGGGACGAAATTCCGTAGAAAGTTTACGCGTTGCGTAAACGTCTATCATTATTATATGGGTGTAGATCAACGAACGATAGAGGATCGAGCTATACTTGTCCCTCGTTCGTCGCTTTTCTCAGATTCTAATTGACCACAGTACACAGAGTGTTTTCTCATCAGATAGCGTGATCTTTATGACGAAAACCCTCAATATAGAAGTTCCATTCGGTGGGTAATTCGAAATACAAAATGGCTAGTTCTATCGAACATGCAAAGGAGCTTTACGAGGACATAAATTTGGTTCGAGGCATCGTTACGGTGGTTCTTCCTTATCAGTCCAGAAACGTTTTCACCGAAGATCGTCGTAGAAAATCTATTTCCCATTCTCGGTTACCGAACGAATCGTTTTTATAGGATGCGAACAAAGATATACATATTTTCGTATCATGCTGGAACACGTTCTACGAGTTTCGACAGCACCCCCATCTTTTTCAAACGTTCATCGATTGTATCTACGTTACTTCGAATGGCACGAACATGTGAGATGGCTCGATCGAACGTTAATACGGCAGATCGATGGAAAAATTGGTCTTCGCGCGCGACAAGGTCAACGAACCCTTTCCCTGTTTCGTCGAAATTTCTAAACTATTTGTCAAACAAGTTGCGTCGATCGGAACGATTGGTAGTCGGAAGGCGCTGTGTCTAGGAATACACCGGGTGGGGCAAAAATCCCAGTCAAGTGTGGCATTGTCTCGCGCAGTTTGACCGCGCGAATACCACGTTCGCGTGAAACCGACTTTCCCTCTTTTTGAATTTTACCGATTTCATGTAATTGATTGGAAACTTGGGTTATTCCCAGCAGCTACGCAAGTTTCTTATCGGTTTTATGCCGCGAGTTAGCCTGGCAGCTGTTGGATCGTCGCGTTTTTACGCTCTCGAGGCCGACACGAATGCTTCTGATCGCCGAGATCGGAATCACCCCTCTCGAATCGCAAAAACCGAACTTTGCACATGTTGTGAAAGGAGCAAATTGTTTTCGCACGGTGTTGCAAGCCTTTTCTTGCCGTTTCTACAAAGTCCACCTCGAAGCGTCTGTGTTGTTCATCCGATTTTAAGGGTATTCATAATATTCAGCTAGTGTACGAAACGCTGGTTTAGACCTCGTTTAGAGTAAGTTTCCATTACTCGGTTTCCTGTATATTCAAAGTATGAAGTAACGTTGGAGAGAGTCCAACATAAATTTCTAAGATTTGCATCGTATAAAATACATAATAGAACGTCCTACTTAGATCATAACTATGCTGAAATATTACACATGACTAACGCGTTAATTTTCAGTCTTGAGATCTTTAACGGACGGATCAGATGTTCGCCATTATTAGAGTCTTGTTAACTTTCGCGCGCCGCTCGGGTAGAAATTCAATTTTCCATTGTTTAAATTATAAACGCAAACGCCCGGGTCACGCGATCCAATCAATTTCTTATTTTCGAACGAAGTCAGAGGTTGTCGAAAATAAACGACGCGGCGTTTATGGCAATCGGGGTGCATGGGAATGCTCCAGATGCAAGCTTTTATTTAGAAATTTGTTTAATCATAGTAAACGCGGGCACGACGGGTGTGAGAAAAGCGAATGAAAATCGCGGAGATCGAGATTAAAAGAAGAGGTGTGCGTTGCACAAATGAGATTGCGATTAAATTAGAATGGAGCAAGCGGATTCCGAGGATCGCCGGTGACGAGGACGAGTACAATAGACCACGGTGCTGGAAGGCCGATTAAAAGATTCGACCGAGATATTTCTGTCGCCACGGTAAATAGAAGCCGATAATTCGAGATCTGTCTCGCTTCAATTCCATTAGCCGCCAAACGCGGGTACTGCATAGGTTTAATTCTCTTCCAATCCTTTTTTTTCCCCCTATCCGCCTCGCGATTCAATAGAGAGGGGAAAAAAGTTGTCTGACAATTTTCGCTTTTCAACGGTTCCTTTGCAGGATTTACTTATCCCCCCGCGTGCGCGTAAATGCGGCTCTCTTTTGTACGCGCCCCGCCGGAATCCACCGGGGAAACTTTTTGCAACGCCGACGCAACTTTCGTTTCCGTTCGAGGCAGAATTTGTTGGGCTTCGAACCCGAGGATGCGAACAATACCGTGCCCCGTAAAAAAGAATGTTCAGACAAGAGGAATTCACGTATCTATTTCCCCGCGTAACGCTATGGCCGAGCTTTACGATCGAATAATTATTGCAAACGTGCAACGCGAACTTGCACCGAGTCGATCGTTAACAACCAATTC